GAAGGTGAGATTCACTCTACACGTTCATTCCCTCACCCCACTGAGTATCCCTAGAAATCTGTACGAAACTTACAATAAAAACCACAATAATCAAACTTGCAATCACTTGGAGGTCATAAGCATGGAATTGATGACATGCATGATGAGGCGGATGTTGGAAAGGTCGGGCCCACTACAAGTCGGAAGGTTACGGTGGTGACTCAGTATCTGGTAGACTTGCTCAAAGATGGGACGAACATGGACCACAATCATTGCATCTGCCGGATTTATAGCAGATAGCACCTCTCTCATCCATGTCAGCTTCCGAGATGTATCTTTGGTGATGTCACAAGCCAACTGCTGCAGAAGAGAGAGGAGCACACCTTGGCTCAAAGGCAGGGGATTCAAGGACAAGATCCCCGGCAGATCAACCTGGTATGAGTCGAAAAGTATTATGATAACACTGAAGCTTAGGATTACAACGTTCAAACTCATTTGATGTATGAATGAGATGGGTAAAATTGTAACCATTGACCACGGCATTATTCAGTAGATAATTAATGCATCTTGTAAAAGTGCTCCAGTTACAAACAGTATCTTATACGATGACGATTAACCCATTGAGTATACGTATGTAACTCAAATAAATAAATGGACCCAAAAGAATTTTAAAATACATGGTTCATTCTGGATCTGTTGGGAAATGTTGAATTTTGTTGTGGATATAGTCTTCTCACTCCACCATCACCCAACAAATTGCCACCCCTATCAAACGATTCTAAAGCTACTAAGCATGCAGGTCATTTTAATCTACCCATAGTCTACTATTTATCAAAGGGGGTTTTCTGATAAAGACGGTAATGGATGAACTGAACATTAAAATATTTACCCGAAAGTTATAAAAGCAATTCAGAGTTTACCTGGGCACATAACCAGGCTACTATAGTAACATCAGTCCTCTGCAGTGCAGCAGTAAAGGCCTCCTCATACTTGCGGTCAGCTATCAGTCTAGATATTTCTGCTGTCGGGTCAGGTGGTGCCTCAAGCTTAAAACAAAAAAGAAAAACATTTCAAAATTAAATGGCAACGGCAGCAGTAATGAGTTAAACCTCTGGTCAGATCAAAAGAAAAGGTTAAATTAACTCAACATAAAGAAACATGAAAGTGAAGCCAAACCTTCTCATGGAGACCACCCAGAGGACCATTGCTCAGCTGACCAATCAACGGATTTGCTGCTTTAGTGTTCGCAGTAAGAGCTAACAATTTCCTTTGACCATCAAGAATCTCACTGCTTAAAGTTTGAGTCATTGATGATGCTGAATTTATGGCATCCTGTAAAGTAAAGCCTGAATTAGTGATGCAGTTGGATATGGAAAGCACAAAAGGAATTGGATAAGCAAAGAAACTACAATTCTGCAGGACCAGCAGTTTGCTGCCTCAGATTTCAATGTAACTATACAGACACTAGAATTATCAGCATAACATAATCAAATAACTTGATACCCTTAGTGCAATTGCCAATGGTGAATGTGATGCGTCAAATTGTTGATGAACTGCGGCTGAATGTTCAACCATTCCTTTCTTAAATGTGGCGTCCACCTGCTCAAACATGGCCCGGCATGACATCTCAAAAGCTGGGATCACAGAAACTTCCATACTTGATTTCAGTGTCTCCTGACAACAAAAATGATTTTGAACTCTATCAAACGACCATGCACCTGCAAGTTGAGCTAACACAATATACGAGAAATGTGGACGCTGGCCACAAATCAGCTACCTCCATTTAAAGATTGCCAAATAAAATATGGCATAAAAGTGATCTGGCTTTCACAGGTAAATTAAAAGAACTTGTCATATTTCCTACGGAATGGCCCAAGGCCCTTAAAGGTAATTTGGCTCTCGCGGGGAACTTTACTACACACCATCAGATTTCATTTCAACAATTGGTTTTGAAATTTCCCAAAATAATATATTATTTTTCTAAAAGTTCTGTTGACGCCATGCAGACGCAATGCAACGCAGACACATTGAACAGAATCAATTACTATTTTACTAGCTTGCACTGAACCCTTTCTCTTCATCTTACCTGAAGAGCTTGTTTGCCAGAAGTTTGAAACTGAGCTTGGATTTGCCTAGCAACTGTAGCTTCGAGTTTGTTGTTAACAGATTTCTCCAGTTGATTTACAGCTTTATCACCCACCCCTTTCTGGTCACACAAAAATCAGGTCCATTAAAATCCAGGTCCTAAGACCAAATATACGGATACACAAAGGCAAAGTGTCAACCTGGAAGCTCTCAGCTATGGAGGCAGATATTATCTTCTCTATGGTGGGTGTTATTGTTCGCGCCACAGATTGTCCCACAGTAGCCAGTTCTCTCTTCACAGTTTTCTCAATAATTGCTGGCAGGTCCTTGTTTAAGCAATTGTTCATCATATTTGTTAACTGTTGCACGCGATCCCGTACTGCCTTGTCCTGTTTTACATTCTCTTCTTGAATACGGGCCCACAAAGCATCAGCATTAGATTTGACAGCTTTCTCCATGCTCCGTACCAATGCGGCCTCAAGTCTTTTGCCTTCTTTATTAACTGGTGCAGCAATCATTGTTGCCATCTGCTTCTGCATTTCCTTTTGCATAGATACAACCTGCAAACATGAACAAAAATTAAAATAGCTAGGTTGATACATGTTTACACTGGCGAATCTGCCTGCAATGAAGATTTTGCTCTAAAGCTAGATTCACATTGGTGTACCTCTTTGAAGCATAAATAAGGCAGACCTTATCCTTCAGCTACTAACTGAAGGACAACATATTATTTGAGCAGAAACGATGCAAAAACAATAGGGCCATAACACACAAGGAATTTCACAAAAACAATATGTAAACAGTAATCAACAAGGAAACAAAACTAAAATGTCAAAAAACCTCAAGCAGAGAAGTTTATAATAGATAGTAAAAAGACGAACATTTTGGAGCAATACCACACTTCTTAAACTAGCAACTTCTAAATAAGTATATAACAAAATAAAAAAAGAAAAAAAGAAAGAAAGAATAACATTTGATGAAAGGTTAAATGATCAATAAATTCTAGAGACTAGTGTAGTCAACCACTAACAATTTGAGAGAAACTGCAGAAAATACAACATTCTCAGCGAAAGGATGATGATTGGCACCTGGTTCAGCATCTCTTGCATGGAATATATCTGTGGGATTGCATTCCCTATCGGAGTACTTAAGCTAACACCATGTTCAGTAGCGGAATCTGCTGAATCGAAAGCACTTGGCGATGGTGAAGATGACCCTGATCCTTGACCACCCTTACCCTTCTGCTTTTTTCCTTTCCCACTTGTTGAAGGTTGTTGAGCTGTTATACGAATCGTTGAATCAGTACCCTGCTGAGAAGCATCCTTTAAAGATTCATGGAGCTCTTCTACAGTTGTAGATTGAGCAATGGTTTCAGATTCACCAGTCACATTAAACTGCCTAGCTTCCTCAATAGTATAAGCCTCATGAGATACAACACGACATTCTCGAGCCACCTCACTTCCTAGATCGGATGTTTGAGAGCAAAATGATTTTTCCTTATTTTCTGTCGTAAGACCCTGGGAAGGTCCAATATCATTACTTTGACTATATCTCGTCTCACCCACAACTTTAACCTCCACCTCAACATTTCTGATGTCGTTGCTAACCACCACATCTTGAATATTTAGCTCAGCATTACTTTTGGGGTCAATGGTGTGGCTCGCTTCAGAGACTGAATTGGCCATCAAAATTTCAGAAGGAGTCACCAAATGAGTTGGGTGTTTGAATTTAATCTGTTGGTTGACAGCTATAGACTCATTTTGGAAGTGTTCATTATCACCATTCCTTGAATCACTATCTAACGAAGCAACATCTGATACGTTCGCATGAACAACATCCATCTGACGGTCAACTGAGTACTCAACAATTTTCAGATCCGATCCATGATCATTGGTTGAAAGGCCATGACCACTCAATTGACTTCTGAAGCCAGAAAGTGTTTTGGACAACCTAGGGCTTAAAGGAATAGAAGGTGAAGCTGCAGATGAAACGGTATCATTAGCAACCTCAGGCTGAAGAACTAATTTTGTTTCTGTAGCTGAAGATAACTCTTGTGGCATGGGTGACTCAGCAGGAGCATGGATAACAGGGTACCTCACTGTAGATGCAGCATCCAATCCACTTTCATGAATGGAAACTTTGGGTGCAGAACTAGAAATGGGTAACTCAGTTTGTTTCCCGCTAGATGGCTGCTCTACAACAGGTGCAGTAGCAGCATCCAAAGAGACATTGGAGTTTGACTTCTCAAAAGCGATATTCTCCAGAGGGGGTGGCAGGCACTGTGACAAGTCTAAAGCATACTGCTGAATTGCCTGTGTCTGGACACAATATACCTGCACAATTTGATCACCATGAGGAAGCAACTCGCTTGTCCCAGTGAAACTGAGTATCGGCATGGTGACAGTAAACTCAGCTATATAATCCATGCGTGTTTCCTCTGGGTTGGGACCATATTCCAAGTGCACGACATATATTGCATTCCTCTTCGCATTTGCTAATAAAAGAAGACCAGCTTGTGACAATGCTACTACTTGATTGAAAAAGGCTTCTTCTGCTTGAGCCTCTGAACTCTTCAACTCCAACTTCTGAGTACAATGCCATGACTCAGCATCACCAGGAAGCAACCAGCCTTCTTCACTTGCTGATACCCATATTTTCATTTCCCGGTTAAGCGGACCCTAAACATATGACCATGTTAGTTTGGTGCAAAAGTAATAACTAAAAGTCAAAGTAGATTCAGAAAAAGAAACTTTGCTTGACGAAAGTGAGGTTAAACAAACCCTTCCGACATGAAATATGTTCATTCACACTAAACTGCAACAATGTAAAAGATACAGTACTACACAAATAGAGAACTTCAGTAACATGTACCCCTGTGATGAGTATGATATGATCTGGCCGGTGAGGAGCAGCTAAAAACATGACAGAATTAACAGGCAGGCCATCATGTGGCCGAAGAACTGCGACAGGTTGAGACTTCCTATCTTCCCAAATCTTAATCTGCAATCTTGAGCATATGTCAACAGGGAGTTTAAGGGCAGCAAATTATCAAATGCCAAATAGCAGAGTACGTAACCATGCAAGTATCATTTCTAACTGAGCACTTTCTCTAGACAACAGCAAACATAACTTCAACAGTATCAGTTGCAGTTGCAGTATAAATTACAATGGCATATCTAACCAACTTAATTACTTGCAGTCACCATCATATCCCTATACCCTTTAAGATTGGTCAGCTTATCCCCAATCATCTCAATTTATATATATAGAGCAACTAGGTTCCATGCAAGTGGGAATAGGGAGTTTATTTCAGTGGTGACCAAGAGCAGTGTGGGATTATTGTTTAAACAGTGGGAGTAAAAGGACATCAGCAAATGCATTCGGCCGATTCAGTTCATCTGAATGACTTCTTATCATTTATTTAAAGCTTAAAGAAAAACATTTTTCTAACACCACAACAAGTCCTGTAAATATATAGAGCTCAACAAGGCTATACATGGTAAAACTTAAAAATGGAAAAAAATATGACGAACCGTGCCATCTACTGAAGCAGAGACCAGACGTGTTGTCATCCACTGGCACATAGACAAGTCAGACACTTCTCCATCATGGCTGCCAACTAATTGGACTCCATCAATCAATTTCTCAATGGAGCAAGTAAGTGGCTCCTCAGCTGAAAACTTTTCTCCTTTACCAACTTTTGTGGTGTCTATCTTCAAAACACGTCTCCCTATTCCAACCACAAGAACTTCCTGTAAGAAAATTACATGGTAAGCCTAAATAAAGTCCTGGAAAGATAAAAGCACATTGGTAAACCAAAGAAGGTGGACATAATTTACCTGTTTATGACAATGCCAACAAACTCTAGGATGAACAGATTCCCCTTCTCCAGTAATTTGTATAGCAATATTGATCCTTCCAGTAATTTGTGGTTTGTCTTCTTTATCTGGACCTTCAGTGATCTTCCAGACATAAACCCGACCATCCACACTTGCACTATATCCATGATGGTTATGCAATTAAGCGCAAAAAATGATATGGATATAACAAAAATAACTGATGAAGAGGATACCTAGCTAGAAGGGGAACATCCTCAGCAAAGAAAGCCATGTCTGTGACCCTCTGGAAATTATTCAATGAATTAAATGATGCTATCCAATAATGGTCATTAAATAAACAATAACAACAACAACAATAGTAAGAAAAGCAGATATCCCAGCCATTACATTTCTCACGGTGTTTCACATAATTGAACTCGATGAACATTGAACAAAAAGAATCAATTGAACTACAGCCAATTTCCAGCAAACGTTATAGTGTGTCCTGATCAGATTTAGACTAAAGAAGCAAAACCACATTATGAAATATGTAAAACTAACCTGGCCTAAACCCTTGAGCAATGACCTCAGAGCAGTATTGATATTGAGCACCCTTATAGCACCCAACTTCAGCCCATAACATATATACGTTTTGTTTACTGCAATCTGTCTGCCCACGGCTAGCCCAGGGTCAGAACCATATTTTGTAATGGGTGTAACCTCAAGTTGAGGCTGCACCTCGCCCGGAAATCTAACATCTATGTCATAAATCAATTGATCTCCAATCAAATGCCGTCCCTTGGGGAGCTTACTGCTCGGCATCCGCATCACAGGCGATTGATGCAAAATCCCTGAACCAGGCCCAGATGGCAAGTGCTGTGGTGCGAACAAATCCGAACCCGAGGAGGAAGTTGGGTGGATTTGAGGCATAGCCATCGTAGTCTGCTGCTGCGGGATTTCGAGCGTAGAAGGAGGCGCACTCAACAGCGCCATCAACCGAGCTCCATGGCTGTTAGGGTTTTGAGGATTAGGGGGGTTACAGAAATTGGCGTTGTGAGGGGCCGTAGGCGGCTGCCCCTGGGGCTGGAGAGGCGGCGTAGGATAAGACATAGACCTCTGTGGGTGGGCTGCGTTGGAGAAGTCCTGGTGGGGCTGAGGTGGATTCGAATAGGCGGGGTAGACAGGATGGTAGTGGAACGGCGCTGTCTGGGGCGGAAACGAGTATGCGCCTCCGGTCGGCGGGGGGTAGGAGGCGGATGGCGGCGGGAAAGGGCCCGAAGCCAGATTAGGGTTAGTGACAGTGTTGCTCACGTTATTGGTGACAAAATTTTGGGGATTAGGGTTAGAATTGGGGGCTGAGGTGGACGGAGGCGGTGGCAGGGGAGCGGAGGGTTTGAACAGTTTCTGCATATCGAAGGGACCTCCGCCTGGTGGGTTTGGATTGCCAGGGGAAGCCATTTTTCTTCTTGCTTTCCGCTTAAAATACAGAGCCTACGACTGTTGCGATTTTAGAGAGCGAGCGAGAGAGAGAGAGAAATCTGGAGGATCTTCGGGGTTCTCTGCGACTCTGTGAGTGTGTGAAGGGTTGTATGTATGTATACTATGTATAGGGTTGAGTGATGGAGTATATACCGCAAGGGTGGATCTGGGGAGGACAGCTGGGGAATGTGCACTCGGTGGAAGTGAAGAAAGACTATTGGGAGGCAATAAGAAAGAGGGATACATTCAAAGATAAAAAAAAAAAAATAACTTAGTATTAATTAATTTAATAAACATGTATGCAGTATTTTTAGATTAATAAAGCCACTTTAACAAAAACTTAAATGACAGAAAGTTATGCATATGTTTAATAATTGTTGATTTTAAAAATAATGTGATGTACAAAATAATAGAAACTTGATATATAGTATTAAAATTTGCGTCATTCTTTGTAGTATAATTCTCTTTTTACTCTCCTTATTGTTCGAAACGAGATGTTAAACAAAACAAGACGATCATTAGTTCAACTAGGCTCAAGCTTGGCTCAACTTATTCATACAAGATGACCTTGGATCATTGAAAGAATCAAACTTGAGTATCGAGAGTTCTAATTCTATTCGAATAGTTTGCACCTCTAGATGCTATATAAACCAAATTCAGAGCATCCATAGAAACAATAACGCATTTGAATATTAATTGGTCTCTTTTATTATGGGCATAAGTACGTAAGTGTTATGAACCGAGATGATTTTATAATTTATTTTTTTTTAAGTTTGAGAAGATGAAAAAATTGCAGAAGGAAGGGAGAAAGGCAGAACACGTGAAAGGGGAGGAGAGAGAGAATATTAGAGAGAGAAACAAGAGAGAGAGTGAAAATTGTTAATTCATTTCATAATGCAAATCACTTTTCCTACATGCCTTTTAGACTCATTCACATGTTACTCACACAACTCACTACTTAATTCACATAATGGGCTATTTAATATATATAGGCCCAAAACTAAACATAATAAAATGAGTCCAACATAAAAGACCCAATACCAAAACATAAATTATCTAGATTATAAAACCGGCTCACTCCATAACCGGATACATGACACTAAGCAGTTGGAGTACATGCATATTTTAGTAAATCACCACTTTATTATCTTTAATAAAACTAGTAGCATAGGGTTATTGAATAATAAATTTACAATTAAAAAAATAGAGGTTTTCAATTAATTTTTTTCAATATTTCTTACAAATTGCATTGTTATTTATATATAAAATTATACTAACCACCCATAAGATTAATTCATCCTTATTATAATAAATTTTAAATTCATCATAATATATGTTGATAGCACTTAGTTGCCAACGTATTCTGACATGTAAAAATGGTGATTTTTTGTGAAAAAAATCGAACTTAGTGTAATTAATTTGAGAGATCATCAATTTGTTGGGGATCGGCACAAAACCAATGAGGATAAAAAGTGCATACTTATATATCTGAGAGAGAGAGTGTGTGCTTGTATGAATTGATTGTGTGTTTTTTGAGGTACTTAAGACCTCATTTATACTATGGGTGCACAAAGTTCTGTTAATGGAGTCGAACCGACCAAAACCGAAATTGAATATTTGGTTCCGTTTTCGGTTTACATTTTCTTACAATTTTAGTTTTCGGTTCGGTTTGGATAATTGTGATCGGTTAACCAAAAATCGATTTATAAACATTTATATACATGTTTTTTAATTATATATATAAGTTATAAAAGCATTAATTTACTTCAATGATTGATGATTTTCAAGCTTCAATGACCCCGAAAATGGCTAAAAGCATTAATTTACACTTAAGATTGGCTTCGTCGTAGTCCAAGTCACGGTTCGGGTCCGAGATCTTTCTTTGAGGAGAATTTTGAATTTATTGAGAAGATCAAAAAAGGTGATAAAAAATTAATTTGTTGTGGTTCGGATAAAAACATCAAATTTTTTGTTCGGTTAAAAATTCAAAATTTATTGAGAAGATTAATTATTCATTGTCATAACCAAAAATCGAACCAAACCGACCGTTGGATTTTCGGTTAAAAACATAATCGAACCGTAAATTTTGGTTCGGTTTCAGTTTGGTTTCGACCGAATGACCAACCCTAATTTATACATGCTATGCCACCTCAGGGGCTAGGTGAGCAACATGTGTATGCATGCAAAAACCCGACTTTTGATTATAGGACTCTCATTTCGCCTTTTGATGATGGGAATGATTGGGCGGTCCCTTTTTCCGATTTCCGTTCACATTCTACTGAGAGATCAGCATAAGTTACTAACATGTAGAGGCGGATGCAGACTCTCGAAACTAAAGGGGCACAAACGTAATTTTTACACATTAAAACTATAAAAATAAAAATGATCACATATTCTCATATATTGTCACTATTTCTAATCTTATTAAATAAATCTTTTTCAAGTGTTAACATTTATTTTTTGCACTAGATATTTTTTTCAATGACAGCATTGGTGGACTTCTATTTATAATATTTCTTCACAAAATAAAAAATCATCTTAGGAGAAAAATCAATAAGAAATACAATTTAGTATCTAATATATAATTATACTTTTAAGAACGCCTAAAATACAATATGTATCAATACCAATAACAAGAGTTTAGAAATCATAACTAAGTTGAATTTATTTTAAAGTTATGAAAGCTCTAAGATAACATTTTTATCTTAAATATAGTAGAGGATTACATAAAGTTAAAATATAATTTATTAATAGATACAACACAATTTGAGTAGAAATAAAAAATTTGCTAAAAGATGGATTTCTAAAAGAATTAATGTGATATTTCCATTCTTATAAGAGTCGCCGCCTTTTTATTTAATTAAGAGTTAATTATATACAAAATTTGAAAAATATAAACAGTTTACGTACTGAATAACTTAGAGTATCTTTTTCCAATACAAGTGTATATGCACCCCAACATGCCCCTTCCTAGGTCCGCCCCTGCAGTAACATGCAGATCGACACTTAATACAAAAAGATCGTCACAATTTTGGTCAGGTTTCTTGGGCTCTCATATTCGGGCTTTGGGATTGGATCGGTATGGGCCTGCTTACCTATTGGAGTAGTACATCTTATGGCGTATTGGGTTGGCCCAAGAGAATTTGTATACAACAAGGGGGCCTAGGTTTTGGGGATTGGAAAATCACTAGGGGCCCAGGAAGTTGTCCGCCGGTCCTCCTATTTTCGAATAGCCACTTGTGTGGGATCGTCAATAAGAGCTTGAAAAACCCGTGAAAAAGTGAGTGGTGCCAATTACACCTTTGAGATAAAAGACAAAGTACCCTGTAAATCAGTCATTTAATGAAGGGAGAGAAAATTGGGATAGACACGTCGTGGGGCAAGCCTTTTCGTATGGAGGTGTTGACTCACGGTCTTTCACATGAACAGATATGATTTTTCGTCTATGGGATCTTCTGCCCTAAAGCCATCGATTGCTTCGAATGAAGAGCTGGATTCGTTTCTATCAATAGGAGATCACGCCTCTTGAATTTTTTTTCCTCATTCTTGATCTTAGGTTTCTTTCAAAATCGAAACTTGACTTTGAAGCGAGGTTGCATGTTGTCGATTTGCCAATTTAGGTAACTTTTGTTTGTCTTTTTTCTTTTATTTCTTCCAGATCCAGGCCTTATGTTGGTGAGTAGTCAAGATTTTGATATGGATTTGGTGAATGTCGCGTTAGCACGCGATCGGGCTGGTCAGATAAGACAGTCGATTGTTGCAGAAGAAGGATTCCGTCGAAATTTTTGGGATGTAGAATTGGGGTTTGGGAAAAATAGATCTGAGAGAAAGATGATATGGGAATTTGTTTTTAAATAAGAATAAAAATTAAGAGAAAATTTTTTGGGATAGAATTAGAATGAAAATTAAGAGAAATTGGGGAGGAGGTGGAGTTTTGTGTCAGCGAATTTGAGAAAGAAAGAATAAAAAAAGTAGGGAAGAGGAAGAGGAAAAATAAAGGGAGAGAAGAAACTTGAAGAAAAGAAAAACTAACAAGAGGAAGGTATAATAAATTGGAACCATCGCAACAACTGAGTGAAAACTGAACACTAATTAAATTTAAAAAAAAAATCTTCTAAAAATGCATAATCGTAATACAATCAGATAAAAGTGGAATACACCCTCCTTCGTGTAGTTTGTGTAGTGGATTGAGAATAAGAAGTTGGGCTTTTATTTACATTTAGTTGGGCCTAATAATATACTATGCAATATTATTAATATAAAGTAAAGTGCATAAATAGTGCACCTTCTTTATTTTGGCCCTGGGCCTTAGCCTAGAGAGCCCTGGGCCTGGGTCGGCTATGGTTAACCCCTGATAAAGTTGGGATTCTAGATGATCTGGTTCATACTGACAAATGTAGAGGGGTAGTTTTCTTGGTGGTTAGAGCATCTTTAACAAAGAGGTTTGCTCCAGGTTTGTAAACATACTCTTCAGTTTTTGTTATTAAACGTGTGAGGTTTAAGGTTTAGCTTTTCACTACAGGTTTACAAATCAAAACCTCAAGTAAACCTTATTTGTGGGCTCATTTTCTTATTTTTTAATTTTTCTTTATTTTTTTATTCAAAGCAAGGCGTGATGCTTTGTGTTATATATATATTTTTTCTTTTTCAATTTTATTTATTCTAGGCACTGTATTTTGATATGGTTTTTTTATTTTTTTTAATAAATTCTAATATTGTGACAAAAAACTAGTTTAAATTGTAATAGATATAAAATTTCCTCCCAACTATTTTTTTTCATACTTGACAATCAAAAACATAAAATAAAAGCAATTAAATGAATTAGAGATATATTTGTTTATTAATTCCTTTAACCCGTTTTGTCTAATATTTTTTGCTTGTAAAATTCAACCATTTTTGTTAAAATCTGATATCCCAAAATTTATTTATATGATTCTCTTTAATATTTAGAAAAATAATAATTTAAAACGAGCTATTTTAGAACAAGAACAAACACTAACAAACTTTGAATCAAAACTGTTACTTTTGAAAATATATGAATTAGTGCAGATTTACACACTAGAGCATATATGGTTTAGAGCATATCTTCATTTCAAAAGTGAAGAAGATACATATACATCTATGTAACGATTGAATCAAAACTGTTACTTTTGAAAATATATGAATTAGTGCAAATTTACACACTAGACCATATATGGTTTAGAGCATATATTCACATTTTAAAAATAATTGTAATAAATTGAATTTCTTAAAGAAGATACATATACATCTATGTACCGATTGAATCAAAACTGAGGTTATTTGATTTAAAATAAATGGAGTTACTCGACAGCCCGAAAAAAATATGTAAAGCAATTAATTGAAATAAGAACGAGTTGTGGTTGTTGTCGAAAAATAACAATTTAAAATGAGCTATTTTTTACACGACTTGGCATATTTGGAATGAACCTACTTCCCAAAATTAATATTTAGAAATAAAAATTGTACTCAAAGTTTAATTTTCAACATTATGTAAGTTTTATGTTTCGTAATTTTTATAAATAAAATTTTACATTCGTATGCACCTAACACTACATAATTATAAATAATAAAATATAATTATATGTAATTATATATTTTTTATATGTATTTTTGATAAATATATAAAATATTTATATTTAATAAATAAAGTAAGAGTTATAGTTTTAAAATATAAATAAAAATATATGAGTATAATATTAATTAAAAGTAAGTGGGAAACATGTGGGACCCATGAAAAATGAGGTTTGGGGTTTATTGTTATTGAAGGTTTATGGATGTAGGAGTAAGAATGAGGTTTTTGATGATGTGGCATATTGGGAAGTGTAAAAGTGAGGTTTATGGAGGTTTATGGGGTTTTTTTTACTAAAGATGCTCTTATTAGTGTCACGAGTGTCATTGGAATAGTTTAATGAGGCATATTTTGTTATTATGCAGTTTAACAGTGGCGGTAGATGAGATGGGGTGAGATATGTGAGGGTTCGACTGAACGATAGTGTGAACCATTTTAGGATTTACCTGCTTGACAGACCCTCATTCTATAGCTAATTTGTTGATATCTGAAATCAACAAGACCATTGTGACGTAGTTTTACTAGAATTATAGAGTAAAAAGACAGACATTGAATGCACAATAAGAATTTCAAACAGAATTAAATGCTTGAGAACTTATTTATTGAAGAGATGAGAATTGAATGCTACTGTTGATACACTGCCAATAATTGCTATAGGGAAGATAATGTTTATTTCTTGATGATTCTCCTCAAATGTCGGGATTGCTATTTATAGAAGGGAAAGGGTAATAAACAATATTATCCGTGGGACATGCGGCGTGCTTTCATAGGTTCGCAGCAACAAGTTGCTTAATTATTTTGGGCGGTGAGAACCAGTTCTAGGCGGCAACTATTTTCACACTGAATTTGTTTGAGATCGATATTACGGGTGTTAATTGTGGCTAAAGTGAGGGGTAATCTTCTCACGTTGTGGCGATGTTGGTTTATCTCGAGATCAGTATTGGCGTTTGTTTTTCTTGGATGTGTTGAGTCGATGTGTCCTTTAGGAGTCTTTGTGTTGGTGTTGTATTACAGGAATCTCAAGATTACGCCGAAGTAGGTATGTCGTTCATATTTAGAACGCAAAAATTAATTAGCTTAGATCGACGTATTTTGTATAATAAGTAGCTCAAGCCTTTTGACATCATACTCTCCGAATAATTAATTTATAGCTAGTATTTAGTGTCCATCAACCTTTAGATATACTTGTTTGATACCAACCATCTTGACCTTAGTTCAAGAGCTTGATATTCCACAACATTATTTGATCGTTTTTTATCAAAATTTCAATATGATTCGGTTAGTTTCTCGGTGAAAAATGTCAACCCAATATCAAATGTTAATTATGGTATAGATTTATTCAAATAAAAAACTTAAAAGGAACATAACTCCAATAATATTCAGAACTTAATAAATCAAAGTTGATTGACATTCTAGGTAGAGGAGTTGAAGGTGAAACGGGCCACCTAATTCTCATCCAAGCAAATTCTAACTAAATTATCAAAATGACTTTCCATAGCCATAAAGATAGTAAATTAAATTAATTCAGTAGCTCCCATGTCACAAACAAAGTCCAAAATAGGGAAGAAATAATTTCCACAAGCCCTTAATAATTAGATCCAACAAAAAAGAAAAAGGACACCTGAAAATGAAACGTCTCCATATTTTCACCCTACAGAAACAATGCGTGGAGTAACCGCTTAGAAGAGACGTGACAGGAAGATTCTCTGTGTTGCCCCCTCTAATTGAACCCCAAACCCACACAACTCAATTAACTGCAGAGTGATCACTCCCCGATTATATATAATTCCTTCTTATCCAAACACCCCCATTTTGTAGCAACATTGAATCTGGAATTAATCCCATATATATTCTCCAAAAAGTGGTTTCTATTTCTACTTTTTTCTAATCGTTAATCACTATTTTTTTTTTTTTTTCGAAAAAGATATCAGAAAAATGTGTTGCGGGTCAAGATTGTGCTGTTTGTGCATGTGCGTGGTTTTAGTGGTGATTGCAATTGGGCTTCTCTTCGGATTTGGTGTGTTCAAGCATGGTTTTCACAAGTTGCAGGACACTATCCACGTTTGCGACCCCGCCGCCGGTTTGTGCGGGCGGCGCTTTTATGGTTTCGATGCTCCGCCGCCGTACTAGGAGATATTTTATCTTCCAACATTTTCCTTTTCTTTTTTGCAATTTTATTCTCTTTTTTTTTTTCATTTTTCTTTAATTCCTTTTGTTGTCAGGGTTTTATTGTTGGGGGTTGTGAATTTCTGATGATTCCCGTAGATTGTTGACATTATTTGCAAAGGATCATTGCCTATTAGATCTGATATGTTCAATTGACGTGATTGAAATCTGGTTCGTATCAGTTGTTTTGCATTATATGATGGTTTCTGATTTCCTGCTGTTGTTCATTTGATAAATGATACGTTATAGTTCATACAGATTGTTTTGCATTTTATGTATGATTGTATCTGATTTCCTGCTATTGTTCCTTTGATAAATGATATGTTGTAATTCATTGATTTGGTCCTGCCCGTAAGGATTTCAACGACACGAAGTGAAATAAGTTTGAAGTAATTTAAAACAACTCCCAGAGAAATTTTTGAGGAATCCAAAATTAATTTCAGAAAAGATTATTATCAGACAAACTCTAGATCTTGGCCATAATAAACTTCTATTTTCGAAATTCCATCCATGTAAAAAGCCTTGAGCCTGGAATAACAACTGAAAATTGGTTTAACAAGATTTACAGAGAGTTGCCGACATATATTCTCAAACGGAGTATAGTATCACGATGAAGCCTAGATATCCCAAGAAAAGGAGTATAATGAAAAGTGCCTTGTTAACATCACCTCACAAAAAAACAAGTTTTGAAAGGAAACCTGGAGTATAATGAAAAGGGCCTTGTTAACATCATCTCACAAACNCAAGTTTTGAAAGGAAACCTCCGCAAAGGGACCAAGACAAAGACAGTGTAATTTGTTATGTGTGTGATATATCCTATATGTAGTACATATAAATAATAGCCCTAGTAAAGGGGAATAACAACAATGTTTACAATAAGAGACCAAAGTTTCATAAACAGAGCACATTACATGTAATTTTACCATGCTTGGCCTACTAAAAATAAAGGCAAAAGTTCCACTAAGCAAAACCATTAGGCCTCTCGCAACCCTTGGAAGATCTCTTCTGTATGTCTGCTTCATAGTGTGCGAAAGCCGCATCCAAAGCCTACACAACCAACAAAATGTTGAAGTCATGAAGCAAAATATTAAGTTTGAAATGTTGAGTAGAAACATTTCTATAGGATACATGTAAATTTGAGTTAAAACAGTATTTGAAACCTGAAGCATTGGTTGAACAAGAAGGGAAACCTGATGCCTGACATCAGACTGCACGGATTCTTTAATCTCCTGAGATAAATTAAAAGGAAGATGAGAAAATAGGTCTTATATTGGGTAAAAGTAACACATTCAGTATGGATACACATACCTGCAATTTTGGATATACTTGGGACATCGCGTCTTTCAATCTGGTCACCTGTTAGTGGGTCCAAGTATTTAGAAGAGCAACTGAACCAAATAGATATATATGACACAACATTGCTTCAACATTGTCTGTCCAATATAATCCCAAGAAAGACAAACTCATAGGAGTATATTTATCATGACACGAAAGACAAACTTTCACATCTTGCACTTACATTGTGCAGAAAACTCTGTGGTTAAGGAATTTATTGAGCATCATAAGTCAGACCTTTTTTACGTTCTTCCAGAAACTCACGTTTCTAGCATTTGTAAATTTGGGGTAAAAATGTAAAACTAACTTAATATAGATTGGGCTGGAAATTGTATCCACAAAGAAATTATTTGATACAGTCGGGCCCAACTAATCAACGTAAATGCATGAAAGTAATATTAATTGACATGATATCAAAGCCATTAATTCAAAGCAAGCGCACCCTAAGAAGACATGTATTACCTTGGTAGTGAGATACTTGGTTGTGATTGGGTAAGATGACCAGTAGTGTTTTAGTAGTTCCTGGACTGAAGTCCAATGCTGCAAAATACAGGACCATTCTTTCTGTCAGCACCATATACGAGAAAATATATGATATAAATAGAAACACAAAGTGTTTGCATAAACTCCAAGTACTGGAATGAGTAAAACTCACATGCAAGAGTTCCTCTTTGGTAGCTTTGGGTAAACTATCCAGGAGACTCTCGTGCGGATCTTTTCCAAGATGAAACTTGCTTCCAGAGATTTTCTGATTCAACTCACTGAGAACCTATATGCAATGACTCCGAAGTTAAAATTCCTGCAATTAACAATATTCAAAGGGATAATCACAAAAGTAACCCCTGAGGGACCTAATCAAACAAAATTCCAATTATCTACCGATGTCCTCTTAAAATGTTACCAAAACACACACCTCATTGAGATCTGCATACCATTGTGAAAGCCTTAGTTGGACGGCAGAGGGCGTGTAATTGTTTTTTAATATTATTTTGAAATAAAAAATACATCATTTGGCCTACAATATCCTAAGGCCAACTAGCCGGCCAGCTAGGCCAAGTAATGGGCAATTAATGAGGATGGGAGGTATTCGGAAGATATAATATTCCCGAGTCCGCCTAGTGAATTCTTAAACACTGGTATGAATTGAAAAAGGGAACACTCCCAAGGTATCAATTTTGTAGATGGAACATATATCAAACGGGCATTTGTGTTCTTGAACTTTTTTCAAAGAATAAGGTAATTAAACCCTTACAAAAAGAAAAACGTCTCTCTACATAAACTTTGTCACAGAACATTCAGATATATAACGTAAAAGTGAAGGATTAAACACCTTAAGAGCCACCTCTTGATACAAAATTGGCTCACTCAACCCCGTCTCTCTGATATTAGATATGTGGTTCCTTAAAGAACCATAAGCTGCACGTGAGCTCACGTGGGATTTTAAAGTTTTTGCACCTAAATCAGCATCCCCCAATGCCTTTAGTGCATTAGCCTGTTGAGAATCAAAGTAGTCTCGTGGGTCCTGTTTAAGTAAACCAGTCATGTAAGAAATCAAGTCAGGCCCATAACTTAAGAGCACTTAAAGAGGCTAATGTGGTATACTATAGTCGAAGACAGCCAAACCTTGATACTAAGTGGCGCGATTGTAGGATCTTTAGGTCCCTGAAGATCCTCAATCGCTGCCAGTCGGGAAATCCTGTCAGAGAGCTCTCTCTTTGAGTTTTTCGTGGATATGTCATCAGACAATTCAGCTGCAAATAAATGAAAGCATCAGAAGCCAACTCACTGTAAAGATAAAATGGGGAATAAGCAGCATTTGTATCTGGTACGATCAAAAGTTCTCTGACCCTGTTTTGACCTGGCAAGGGCTTCGGCAACGGACCTTGTATCTCCCAGTTCGACGTCTATCCCCAGATTAGTGGCATGAAAGAAGAAAATGATATATATTATCAAAATTAACAGTAAGGATAACTATTATTAGGTAGTTCACACACAGCAGACCTCTAGTTGATTTACAGATTAAATACCAATTCAGATGCTTTGGAGACCTACCGACAACTCTTCCTTGAAGAACAACTGCAGCATGCTGGTTTAAATCTTGTGAGAAGGATCTTTTATACGGTTCATATTGTGAGTCCAAATCATCTTTGACCTCATCATGAAGCAACCCATGATCCTATATTGCGTTTATGAAATACATAACAAGATAAATGTGTATCAAATTATCACCATATCGTTGTCAAACAAAGATGTACAGTTTTCAGTAACAATAAAAGTACTCTTAAAAGCAGGAAAAAATTAGCATATCATAAACAATAAACACTTATTCGCAGGAAATACGAGACAAGAATTTGGAATCAAAAAAATACAGCAAAGCAAACAGACAGCTCTCTAATCGCTAAAATCATGCAAGAACCATATCCTAACAATATGTTGCAAAATAGAGGTTGTGCAGCCAAGTATACCGGGAGATGTATGTAATCATCACCCATATCAGCTTCCATATCCACAGTCGGATCAACAAGCCTGATCTGGAAAAGAAAATGAATATGAATAAAATGAGAGAAGAAATAAATAAATATATATATATATACACACACACACACACAAACACCCCTCACAGAAGCAATTGCCACTTCATTTTACAAGTATGAACCATGGTAAATGCCAATAACTTCACATGAAACTACCTTTTTCCGAGCTTCACTTGCAAGCATATCATCGCGCTTCAGGAAAACAGCTAGCTCCTCATCTTCAGCAGCCTCTGCTGCGGCAGCAACCACATTTTTTGTACTGTGGAGGTATTCTGCCCTTGAATATTTAGTCCAGAACTCCTTTTCTGTCATCTAGGGTTCAAAAATTGGTTTTGTTATGTTACTAGTATCCATCAGTCTTTTACAACAATGAGTTTCTTATCATAGTGATATACTGATATCATCATCAAAACTCAAAACAAGCCATGTTGGGAGTGGCAGCTAAATGAAGGACCACCAGCCATTTCCAATACATATAAGGGTAGATGTTTGAAAGTACTAGGTAGCTTCTTGCCCTTACAAATCATTCAATTCCAAATATAACCAGTAAACATCTTCTCTAAAAAATAATTCTACTCACTGAAAGGATAAGAACAAACTGGGAGGCAATTATTTGAGGAAGCGGAATCGAGTTGCATGCACCATCTTGGAGAAACCCACTAAAAGTTACTCTTAAATTTTGGTGCCTCACACACACACACACACAATATATATTGCTTTGTTATTTTAATACCTTGTGAGGGACAAAAGACAAAAATGCTTGCCGAACTGCCGGTTTTTCAGCAAATATCTGTAAAACACAGTACAAAAAGTACTCATTAAAAGGTTCTGGAGGATCATTGCTTAAGCAAGCTGCAGAACATAACATATCAGAAGCATTTTAAAAGTTGCACTCAGGTTAAAGCCAATATATTCCCTTCATGCACTATACCAGACATGAAATAGTGTTTTTCTCAACCTAAAACTTTACATTTCTCCATCGAAGCATTGATGCAAACAATGTAGGTTAACAGCATGCTGATTCAGGGTTTCTGGATTCCTCATTATCTTACATTGCTTTACTGTATTCAATTGTAGATATATCAGAGCATTTTTACTTCACAAATTCAGGAGTAGCAATTCCATTGGTGTGTCAGCTATTTCTCGTGTTGAGATAAAAAACTTATGGCAAAGCAAAAGCTACAAGGAATAAGGCAGGTGCTCACACACCTAAACAGATAAACATATGAAGGAAAGGAAAAAGAGAACAGACCTGATGAATGATTTCCGGCGTCAAGTTAAAAGTCACCCTGTTTGACTGAAACAAAAGAAAAAATAAAAAATAAAAAATAGAGATGTTACAACATCCAGATTTGATATGAGAAACATCACTCTGGACACATCAAAGGTTCAAAATACAAACTTAGAAAGTGGAAATCTCACGACACAAATTAAAGCTAGTTTGTAAAGATATTTTTCCCCAAACTATAAAGGGCATACAAATTAATTCAAGATTTCCGTCAATACTCATCTGCAGCCATAAAGAGACAGCAAACTGGACGACAGGAAATGGGCATTTTATTTCAGCACCACACAAAAATTGTTCATTAGTAGTGTCCTTGAAAGCATTCTTACTTGCATCCCAATGTTTTCAAATGATAAATCATACAGGGAAAACCTTTTACTTAAAACAGCTGTTTGATTATGAAACTTCAAGTTTGTTAAGCGGCGCCTTCTTTCTCGATCATGTTCATTTACTTTACTGTTCTGATCTAATATAGAAACCTTAAAGTTTCTGGACATAATCAAATCCAATTAACATTTGAAGAAAAACAGATTCTTTTGGATCTATAAATTTCAGCGTTGCTGGAAAGGTGTGGAAACAAAAAGAAACTGATCATAAATTAGTGCAAATCCAAAGCCCAAAACATACGTTTTTCACATTTGAGCATTAGAATACATCTGTAATTCAGGCAAAAGGGCCCAGGGAGAGCTTTCTTGTACCTGACCATCAGACAATGGTTTGACAGTCCACATTTCATTTTTCAAGGCTAGGCGTTGTTTTGGTGTTCTGCCATCATTCTTGTCCAACAATTTCTGCACTTTAATACAGCTAGTTACTATCATATATTTATAGTCAAATGATATGAAGATTGACAAGACATGAAATTTACTCAAGTAGAAGCTGAATCAAACTCACAAATTGAATACCAGAAAAATAAAGTGACATAATAAAAAGTTGCATGTCAAATACACTGTTCCAAAGTTTTGAGATTCAAGAACAAATAACTGAACAGTAAAATACTCTTTTCCTTAATTTCTTTTCATTTTTTTCTTTGTTGCCAATATTCAACAGAACACACAAGAATTAACACATGATATGAGTGACTAACCTTCCTAGTCGCCCAAAATTCATCATCTGTCAATATACCACCAAACACAAATTGCTTGTGAAGTTTCTGTAATTCACTGCCAGATACACTGATTTAGTACAAACCCTAAGCAAGTCTCAAGATAGCAAATCCAAGGTAAAAAACTAAGCATACAGGGCAAGCCTGCATGGTACTTCGCACATCCTAAGTTAAAAGATATTTTACAAATGGAAGCACGACCACACAATGAACAACCTTAAATATAGCAAAAACCATGGACGCAAAGTGCAAACCTCTAAATATTTACCTTTAACCTACACATTTAAAAATGAACATGAGCAACAAAATCCACACAAAACATATATATGAAAGTTAAAGTTTCTACAATATGATGATGTTCACTTCTTGTTGCCCCCTGGTTCACCTATACAGCAGGAGGAAATCATATAACTAGATCGTCAAAGAAACCTTGATAAACTCAATTCATAAGGCAGATGAAAGCATCAAACATAACAAGAATAATAGATAATTAAACTCCAGCTCCTGGCTGAGCATCCGACCATGGAATAGCAAAAGAATTAATTGGAATTCCAAAAAGAAACTGGCCATTTAGCAGATACCACATTTCTCATTCCAAATCTCTAAGATAATGAACCAAAACTCATTTTCAAAACATAAAGGAGGTCGGTAACAACGACATCCTATGGACTATTCATTTGACTCCTCACCTTGTGTAGAAATTAAAAAAAATTCAGTGATCATTTCACTCTTATTTTTACAAATAAGCTTTTCCTTCCCAAAATTATGGTGCCTAAAATGTTCGTTTTCTTTTTTCTTTTTCTTTTTTTTATCAAATTTCAAATATTTACATGTAAGTTTATCTAAATGTTTCTGCACAAGTAAGTTTGTCAAGAAAAAGGGTAAATTATACTGATCAAAACATCCATTGCCATAATTTTGAAAGAGAAAATGAAAAAGAAAATCGGAAGTGCATACAAACACACAAATTCATAATCTGACGGGCAGTGCAAACTCAGAGCAGAAAGACAAGAGATTTAAGGGCAACATTACATTCATATGACTAACTATGATATGGAGATCTGTGCCTCTATATTAATTATAAACTCTATATAATTTGAGTGTTGTTGATTGTCTTTCTATTGTTAGCTATTATTTCCAACAAACTTTGTATGACTATGATAGTAGGATGATTTCCCTAACTCTCCATGGCATGTAGGCTTGTAAGATTAAAAATCACATGAACAGACCTACAGCAACGGAATTGATGAAAATTCCACATCAATCAGTACCAGACTGCCAAAAATAATCTTTACTCTTACCAAACCTTATACCTCTAATCATCATTCATTGTCTTTGGACCAACATTCACATATACTCATTGCATTGATCCCAATAAAACACCAATCGTGAAAAGCACAATAGACCCAAACTGAAAATTGAACTAGGAAGCACAAGGATGGTTATTCAGCAAAGGACGAGAAGCTATATGATGATAACAAGACTCATAAAACATGGGTTAAGATTTCTATTTAAGAGAAAGAAACTTTCCTTACCTGTTCTCCTGCAGTAGCTTAATACGCTGCTCTGTTTCTGCTCTGCTGAGTTGTTCATTGTTGAGTGGAGCCGCTGATTTTTCAGATATTGCTCTTCCACCGTCAGTATGAAATGCAATGGCGTTGGCTGTTCATAAGTTACATATACCTCATTGTCAGGTACCATATCTCCATGTAACACTTAAGAGTAACATCTTTGAAAATAATCCAATAAAGAATCTGCCACACACATTCAACATTTATAACTTCAAAGTTCTGACCAATATCTATATATACATACATAAAAAGAGAAAAGTTTAATAAGACTGCTCGATTTTCACCATTTTATTGTTACTAAATATAAACATAATTGTTTCTTCTTCTAATCTATTAATTTAGTAATATTGAAAATAATACATGTATAATGTCAAAGTTAGATCATCAGATGGTTAATATGATCATTAATATTATATGAAGGTGTAGTAGTTAAATAACAATAAAATTACAGCCACTTTCAATAACTTACAAGCAAACTACATCTAGAACACATCTCGCAGTAACTTGAGAAAGCATCATATAACAACTGGAAGTACATTGAGGTTAGGAACACAGGAGGTGTGAGCTATGAGAAAACTAATATATTCTCTCTTCCTGGCCATACATACTAGTCTGAGGTGGGTGGGGTGTTTGTCACATTTGACTAGCCTGAGGTACAAGAATCCAAAAATCACAATTTTCAATAGACAAGGTGAAAACGTATGAAAATGGGATATTGTGAATAACATCTCATGATAGTGACTCACCAACATATTCCCGACATATATCACGATCAGCAAAACTATCAAACTCAAAAATGTAACTTTTCCCCTGCATTGCCACAAACATAAGATAGTTATCTATACATACCTTCTGAACATGACAAATACTCTGATTTGAAAACTTTGAGTACGTATGAAACCACAATGATAATGAACCTGGTCTTGAGTAAGATTAAGCAGGGCCTGTTTACTTGAACCTTGCTTGGTGAATTTATGTCCTGATATTTGCAGAATGCAAATACAGATAAGTACAAACATGTCAACAGAAACTTGGCACTTCAATGGGTTACGATGAAATAGTTGAATGCTACACTAGACAAAGATGAGATCTTAATTCCAGGCCTGAATATGGAAAACTTGATTCCCAGGTGATACACAAGAATCATTTACAAGGGCATTTGATCTAGAATGCTAATTGCATAATACTTTAAGTTCCAATATTGATTGCAGAAATCAGAGGAGGGCACTATGATTAGAAAGAAGTACTCCTGGGACCCTAGTAGACAAGGGAAGTGAAGGGAGAGAAGCCAGACAAGCCAAAGCACCTTTAATCGTCTTAAACTCCACATTTAGCTTTGTGGTTGATTGTGGATCATTTGGCATGAAAACAAATCTTTCTATGCTCTGGAGAAAGAAAAAGAAAAAGATAAATAAATAAAAATAAAATGTTAGGTGATTATTCAGCCTCCAATATAGAACACACCAATCACCCAGTTGCTCCAGGTAAGGCAACAGTTAGTTCATAATGATCAAGTCTGAAAATAAGACACTTTGGTTGCACAATATGAATTACAGCAGACAGTAGAAGGAGCTAGTTTGTCCACACTCCACTTAATCAACAGCCACTCAATCTATGAAGAAAATCGACTGATCCCAAGTCCCAGCTATACATAAATATAAGGTGTACAATGCAGGGCTATTAGTGCTACCAGTTTGAGAATGCCGGAAACTCCGGGATCCTTGACTGAGGACTTATGCTTGGCACGCTTCATCACTTGCTTGTCCGCCATGGCGGAATTAATTATATCTTCTACCGGGGAATTCTAATCTACCGGAAACTCCTAACAGCGGGAATCAAATATAAATCAGAGATGACGAATGTAGGTTTTGAGCCGCCGGAAATATAGGGTTTCGAGATGAGCAGCTGCTTTAATAGTGAGCGAGGGTTCCGACCTAGCTTGCGGGGAGGCTTCGCCGAGTAGAAAAGATCCGATAAGTCAGAATATATGTTACGGCGGCGTGAATTCTTTCTTTCCAGTCGCCGGCGTCCAACTGTGGAGAGAGTGTGTGTATTTTGTGGTGTATTTATTCTGAAAGCCAGAAACGGATCAACTACTAGTTCAATGTTCTTTGGTGCGGTTGAATCGATTGAACCGCTATTTAGTTTATTAATATTTTTAATTATATATAATACTTTATATTAAAAAAATTGTTAATTAAAGATTAAATCAATTTAAAATATTTAAATACTTAAATTAATTAATAATAACTTATATCTAAATATGTATTTTTTATTTATCTTAAACATATTTTTAAATATAAAACATTAGTTTTTTAAATCAGGATCGATTCAACCCATCTGATCGAATTGATTTTTGGCCGATTCTAAACGATTTTAACCAATTTTTGATTGGTTCTCTGGCAACCGATTCATTCCAGCGAATTGGACTGGTCAACTGACTGACCAGTCTGGTCCGATTTTCTAAACCATAGTACTTACAATTTTGCATTCATGGACCATGACGGTTGTAACCTTGATATCCCCGTACCCATATCACCATCCAATATTTTGTGGCCCACTGTTGGATTGGGCATATAAGATTGTTTTGTAGGTTATCTTCAAAAAATACAGTTTTCGATCTAAATGTCAAAGGGGGAGATTGTAAAAATAATGATTTTTCATCCTCTGTCAAACCTAAGTGTTTTATAGAAGATTTTATTGTTAGGCAAACAAAATAAATTAAATGAGAGTTTTCTATTTATTTACTTCTGAATTAATTAAGTTCCTAGTATTTATTATTAATAATATAGAGTATATATTTATTATAATATGTATTATGGAGTCTCAATCCTTTATGAGAAGGATTACATAGTATATATTTTATATATTTACTTATCATATATGTCACTTGCATTAATGAGTTTGATTCTATACCATAATTAGTTTTCTCTCTCTTGTAGGATAAAGAATAAATGGTAAGGACTATGAAACGATGAGTCATTCATGCATAAAGAATTTTGGACGTTATGGAGAATATTTAAGGAGGATTTGGAAAGATCCGACGCAAGATCTTTAAGATTTGGAAGATTGACTATTTTACAAAAATCATGTTCTTACACGTGGAAACACAAATTTTACATTAGAAACTCAATTATGAAGGTCTCCAAATCGCATACACGAATTCTACTTCAAGGAAACTTACTATAAAAGAACGATTTCGTCCAAATTTGAAAGAAATAACGAGTCTGGAAACACAAAATCTACATTAAAAACTCAATTATGAAGATCTCCAAATCGCATACACGAATTCTACTTCAAGGAAACTTACTATAAAAGAACGATTTCGTCCAAATCTGAAAGGAATAACGAGTCTGGAAACACAAAATCTACATTAAAAACTCAATTATGAAGATATCCAAATCGCATACACGAATTCTACTTCAAGGAAACTTACTATAAAAGAACGATTTCGTCCAAATCTGAAAGGAATAAATTGAGAAGGAAAAAATGACTCTTAAAAGGAAAAGAAGAAACTTGTGAAGACTCCTTACCTTAAGGAGATTGTATATAAGTCTACTCAAACAATCAATTGAAGGGAGTTGGTGCAATAATTGAGTTCATCATTCATCAGATTCAATTGAGAGTTTGAGAGTTTTTTATTCTTTTTATTTTGTCCATCTCAGCACTTCAGCGTTCTTACATTATTGAAGAACTGAGCTCGTTTAGTTTCTTTTTTTTTTTACAAACACTTTGAGTGTTTAGGGATAAAGTACTTTATTAGTTGGGAGGGATCCATAGCTATATTTGAAGGCCATGTGTTTGTGGCCAAGGAAGTAATTGATAGGATCAAGTATAATGTTGGCTAGGCTAGGAGGGAGTCCGAGTCGAGAAAGTCCAAGTTGTGCTTTGTGTGTGCAAAGGTAGTAAGACGCTCCCCAAAGACATATTTGTTTTGATATTCATGATTCCACAAATTATTTCTTTGTGTTGCAACAGAATATTCGTACTGTGTTGCAACATCATACTGCATACTCTATACTCCTCCACCCTTATTTCACTATTGATAGTAAAATAATAAAAAATAAAAATATAGCAGGTCCGTACCATTTGTTCCTATTATAGGCTTATAGTCCCCTAAGCTATTATTGTTGAAAGAACTTTCTTGACGTAGGGTCACACTCCTAACTCCAAGTCTAAAAAAAGTTTTCCAAAGCCACACCACGAATAAGAGCTTCTTCAATCATGCGCTATATTTCTACTTTACTTCAAAGTAGTGCGAAAAACTTACTTCAATGTTGCGCCACATATTCGAACCACTCTAAGGATGAAAAGTATTGTGCTAGATGTAGTGCGGTACTATTCACCGCGCTACAATTTTTTTCTTAAAAAATTAGTTTTTTAATTGATTTTGATTTCTAAATATTATTTTGATAAAATATACATCAATAAAATTATTTATTTTGTTACGTAATTTTAAATTTTGATTTTATACTTGTATTTAAAATTTGATTTTTATTAATATATTTCATATAGAATAAAATATAGCGCCAAGGGTTGAAAACAAAAGTTAAATATACTGTAATCTTTTATCTGAAAATCTATAGCCATTAAATTAAGGAAGAGACGGCCAGGGCTCTTGCAACAACATTTTATCCATGACAAGCAACATTCGTTTGTAATCTTTACATCTTATACTGTAGTTCCTTCTCTATACAAATCTACCAAACTATATATACACATAGGAACCAAGATTCACCTTTCCCCGAATCTCATAAAAATCAATCACTACCCAAACACATACAGACAAACAATCCAACAACATCCCACACACACACATACGAAAGAATACACCTAATCTGATGATCATCACTCAGAAACCTTTCCAAGCCGCAAGAATCTCATTCAACACTTCCCCAATCAAATCCCTGTCAGCACACTGTACAAACAAACTAAATTCGTCCCGAATCTCATATATCTTCCCGAACCTCACCAGATACCTCATGCATCCATCCTTGAGCTTCGGCAGCTGGTACAGGCTCGCGTTCTGCAGCCTCTCCAGCACGTTATTGGTATCAATGTCCTCCAGTAAGCTCTCGTGGCACGCGTCCTTCAGGTCCGAAATGTCGTACTTGTCGGCTGCCCAGAGAAGGGCCAAGCGGTGGGCCGAGAACTCGTCGGGCCCAATACTGCCGTACATGTAGTGGAGCAGGGCCCGGCAGGCCTCAATGGACATGTCCGGGAGATCAACAGCCGAATTTTCCTTCTCCCTGAGATCGTGGGAGAACATGCTGCGGAATACGGGGGAACGGGCCGCGAGGACTGCGCGGTGGGCCCGCACGGACCCGTCTGAGGCGTTGATCTCGATGTCGGTGTGGATGCCCTCTGAGAGCATGCGGCCGAGGCATGTTAGGGCTGTTTGGTCTGATTGGGCCTGTGTGGGGCCCAAGCTCCAGATCGAGCGCGGTTCTGAGCCCTGTTTGGATTCGATGGTTAATTACGAGGGTGGGTTTTTCTTTTATGATGGTCTCATTCGATTTCCAACTTGAAAAATGAAACTTATGCTTGTGTAAGAACTAATAAGTGTCTGTCATGAAGATTTTGCAGATATGCAAGAGTTGAATAAGCCAAAAAGTTTAGTATAGGGTGCAAGAGCACATCAAAGTAGATATAGTTTTTTTTCAGCTATTTTNAAGAAGAATATGTTGTTCATCAAAACTCACTTCATGAACAAGAGAGAGATGCCTATTTCAAATAAGGAACGGAAGATGGTGATAATAACTTACATCTGGGGATGCGATTTTAAGATCGAGGAACTCGATGTCGATGATGAACTTTCCGGTTAATGGAACCTCAATAGCCCAAACAAAATCATCGTTGCTCTTGAGCTGCTTATCCGTCACCTCTGTATGTGAAAAACATTCTTACATTTTTTTTACAAACCGTAACAAAGACACGAAAAAATCGTACGGCTAGCTATATATGAAGTGAAGATTAAGATAAAGGTACCTGGATGTACCAAACACCTCCGATCGCCCACACCCGACACCAATTTGATCACAAATGATGCAATTGGAGGATATTCTCTAGTCAGATTTGATATCACCGGGTACAGCTTAATAAACAAGATCCGATTTTTCTCCACCGACAAATGCCTTCAGTATCCAAATGAAAGCAAAAGAAAAGGTAAAAATTACAGCAAGAAAGAAGGCAACTGATAAAATCCGATAGGAATAAAATTCACGAAACTAATAAAATTATAAAAAGCAGAAATTTGGTTTTATGATCAGGAAAACAAATGAAACTGACCAATTCCACATGCCCATCGTGAAAGGATCGGATTTCCGGTAAGTGCAGGAGGCGAGGTTGTCGATCCGCCATTGGGCGAGGCGCGACGTCGTTTCGACCCTGTACGCGGACTCCGTCATCCTGCTGAAGGCGAGCGCCGCCGTGATTTCATGGATACAATCGAGAATCCCGTCCAGGAAGAACTGATCGCCGTGCTTTCCCAGGTTGCCCTTTCACCCTCTTCCTCATATATTTTTATACGATTTTTTATGTGATTATACAACGCCTATTTTTGTTTATAAGTTGGGTTTTTTGGAGTCGAGCAATGGGTTTCTGATGAGCGAGGCCCAATCGGTGAGTAAAGGTTTCCGGCACGGAAGATTGTGTGTTGATCAATCTTTACGCCATTGATGGGGAAATTGTGAAGTTTTCTTAAGTTGCTATTTTATATGCAGTGATATTTTGCTGGCCCTACCGTGTGTGTGAGAGATTTGATTTGTTGGCTTACACTGCACTTCATGTTGATGTCTTATTTAAGGGAGAAAATGAGTATAATACTTTTGTGAAGTTTTTCTGTTAATTAATTAATTCTGTACATTGAGAGGGAAGGAATTTATGTTTTATTCGACTTCCAAGCAAAGAATCTGTTGTTCTTTTTTCTTGCCCTTTTTCTCTCCATGAAGGCAAGAAATATATTTTATGTCCTCCACTCTTCTCCTTCATTTTTCTATGACTTGCTTTGTGCTTGTATAATCATGTTATTTACGTATGGCCATGTATGGTGTAATGGAAAATTGCAAGCACTTGTTTACATCAATGTTTCAAATATAGGATTTTAAATTGACTTCAAATTATTTATTTAATTGTATTCATCGTAGTAGCTCGAGATACGACTTGCCTATGATTGCGAGGAAGCGAGTTGCGCTCATCTAAGAGCTCGATTAAATGAGGAGTCGTCACGACATGGAGGTCGTATAACAGAGGTCGTATAAACGACCTATATAAGGAATGTAGTGGTAACGACATGATGTTGGTGCGATGACCTATGGACTTGAGAAGCCATGGTAAAGGAGAAAACAGAGTCCTGTTTTGATAGTAAGTGTCTCTCACTGTGAAATAGAATATCTCTAAGACATGTCATGTTAGGAAATGAGATAGGGACAGACCTCTTTCCTAGTAATGAGGTTATCTGAGTAAGAAGATAACTTCCTTATAAAAGAAGGTTATCAGATTCCTTTATATTTAAGGTGTAATACATATTTTACATCACAGTTTATAGTTCACAAGCGAGATCTAACTTAAACTTCGGAATTTTTTTCGTCAGGACGCCTACTAACGCGGTTTGCAAGTCACTGAAGCTCAAGCCAAAGGATGATTAAATTTGTGGCATCATCGGTCCAAACCAGATGTATAGATAATTTGCACATCACTCATACTTAAATAACTGTTATTTTTAATATAAACTAATCTTGATTAATAAAGGGGGTATGATTTGGAGAGCGACACAACACACAAAGAAGTTATATAATGAATATAATAATTACGCACACAATATATAAAAAGGACAATTTAATTTTCATCAGCATCTTCTTTTTTTAGGGGTTGTCTTCAAGTTGAGTGCAGCTGAGGAAAGCAAATATGACTTGGTGGGGGCACTAATTGAAATCTTAATAGTATGGTACTATTCATCGTTGCTACAATTTTTTTCTTTAAATTTTATTTTTTAAGTAATTTTTATTTCAAAAGATTTTTTAACGGATTATACATTAATAAAATTAATTATTTTATTAAATAATTTTAATTTTATAATTGTATTTAAATTTTATTTTGTATTAATATGTTTCATTTAGAATAAAATATCCTGCGTATGACTAGAGACGAAAGTCAAATTATGACATTCTCCACACTGTAAACTCTACACTAGAGTAGAGTATAGAATTGTAGATGGTCAAACTAGCAAGAGTGCAATTGAAAGTTGATGAAAAATCTTACAATAAAAAAAATACATTATTAATTTAATTTAATTTTCTACTTTTTCTTTTCAATATGTCTCTAACAAGATAATGAAATTTAAAACTAATCCTTACAGAATATCTATTTAATAAAATCAATTATGAATTCACATCTATATCTATATACTAGTACGAATCACGTACGATGCACGGGTAAGAGATATTCATTAATATTTATAAATTAAAAATGCTAATTAATTAATATTTATAAATAAAAATATGGAATCTATCATTATATTAAAAGATTAACCATTTAACACTTTTAGCAAGTTTTTTCCGCCAAATACATTTAATGTCTCCTAAAAATAGAGCAGCATTAAATGTTGCCCTTAAATCATGGCAGTTGTTAATTTAGTTTGGAGAAAATCGTGGCAACTAAAACAAAAAACATTAATTACGGCTGATTTAATATTTAAATGGTAAACAAATATTATTTTTTTATAACTGATTTAAATTTACGTTTGTTTAAAAGTAAAAAACTATTTTTGTAATCTCAACAAATTTGTACTCTTTAATGTACGGCTGATTTAAAATTAAGAATTTACTTTTGTATTTTCACAAAAAAATCGTATAAAGAAGTATGGCTGTAATAATAATAAGAATTTAATTTGTTAAACCATATTTTGCACTCATAGATACGAATTCTCATCAAATTCAAGATTTAAAATTGTGAAGAATGTATATAGATGTGGACTGATTGAAGATATATGATTCCTTAAATTAAGGAATTCTTTCCGGTAAAAAAAAAATATAAACTTTAAATATAGATTTTATTAGTAGTGTATACCAAAGAATATTGTTACATTTAAAATTCCTATGAAGAAGAATTCTATTAATTTTCAAATTCAACATCTCATAAAAATAATATAATACACTTTTACATTATATGAAACAATATTTAAAATCCACCGTTCAACATGCATAAAATGTAAAATTACCTAACATGAATCATTTTAACTTTCTAAAATCAGTACACAATTTGCTCGGTATGTACTAATAGTCTAATAGTTAAGAGTTAATATTTGCTATGACATCTATTGGTTGGAAAGAATTCCATTTTTTATGGAATTCGAAATGAAAAAACATATTCTAAAAATCAAATCTGGTTTAGAGATCGATTTCTTAATGGCCTTAAATTATGCAAATATATTGTTTCAGTTTTTAGGATTCTTTTTTATGATCTCAGTCTTTGCATTATATGAAATCTATACTTATATAAAAAGTCATCCTATTTACTAGAAATAGTAGACAGAAAAGTCAAAGGTAATTAATGCTTGCTGGAAATATAATGATACTAATTACATATTTGTTTTGGTATTTATAGGCTTGACATTAAAGATTTGTTATGGGATAAAAATCAGAACCGACTTTTTTACTTTTGCTGGAAAAGTCAAAGGTAAGTATAGATTTGTTTTATCCCATAGCATCGGTTTAGTTAAGAAAATCCCATCAAATCAGTTTTATATGTCAAGCCTATGAATAAAGATTTAATCGGTCAAAATTAAATCCTTATTTTACGTCACCCATAAATAAAGTAGATGTCAAGCCTAAATTGAAGAGTTTAGTTGTCTATATAGTCATTGATTTACGTAAACACATCTAATGTTTAAAGTTTGTGTAGATTGAAAATTCCTTCTTATCTTTTTACAAAAAATCTTATTATTATTGTATGGGAAATCAAACTCATAATGTTGTGTACAAGGTGGTCTTTAATAATATATGATTGTTTGTTTGTCGAATACTATCTTATTGTATAATTTTCCTGCGTATTATAAAACTTTTATTGAATATTTCATCTTATAATATAGTATTCCTCAAATAAATATATCCCGTGCCTCGCACGGGTCACGTACTATATATATCCCGTACATTTTTCTGTATTCATGTATATAATTATAAGTCTGGATAAATAGCCTTAAAATTGTGCACCCCGTGTATCGCACGGGCTCTGTACTAGTCAATATGTAATATAATTTACCTATATTAATTTATTAAAAATATTTTATAGAATTTAAATTGTGAAAAATTTACATTAAACATGTCTATTTAAAATTAGCAAACAATTTGTACAGTGCACGTAATTGGTAATAAATTATATTATATTCATTTTAAAATAAGTGTCATTTTTATGATTTTTATTTAGAAATTCTATTTGAATACAATGTGACTCCATAAAATAATTAATGTAGTACAGTTTTATCATATACTTAAAAATTTGAGTGAATAAAATATAATTATAAACTTAAATTGTTTCATTAATTAAAATAAACTTATTTTTCTTATAAACTATCCAATCAAAAAATTTAAGTAGTTGAGTATTTTATTTAACTATAAATAATTGACTATTATAATTACTTCCAAGTTGATATTGACCCGTAAGTTATGAATAATTACTTATTTAACTTTTAAATTTGCAACTTAAATTTAAACTACACAATAAATTCTCTTATATATTCATTCACACACACACACACATATTATCTCGCAATTTTTAGATTTTTTGTCAGATATTTTATCGTTCAAATTTATCAACTAATTCTCTAGAATTAAGTTATAAATTTTAAATTTAACTAAACAATATTTGTTTAAATATCTTTTTGATTTTCAATAGTAATATTTCGTGAAATTCGTGTCGTATCATACTTGCTAATTGTATAATTTATCTTTATAATTATATCTTTTAAGTGTTTTAGTGACACCCATTATCACCACGAAAATTGACTGCCTAAAATTTCATGTGAACATGCTAGTAATTTTTGTATTCCTTTTCATTCACAATTATTGGTGCTAAACTGCTAATTATTTACACACACAAGTAGTTTTTCTTAATAAAGGGAGAAATATTCAAAAGTATTTTTTTTATTGAATTATCTCGCTAGAGCCGCTGTAAGACTGTAGCAATAATTCGAAAGACAATTGATACAACAAATATATATCTCGATATTTTAGGTACAAATATATCGTATATATGTACATACAGATATATGATATGAATATCTTAAGATACAAAAGAAATTTTTGTATGATTTATTACCTTAATAAATCAGCCACAATTAAATTTTATGTGATTGAAAACATACAATAAAATGTTTAAATAATTTCCAAATTCAGTAAACAATATTTTTTTGACGGAAAATAGTTACTATTTGAAAAATAATTAAACCTTTATATATATATATATATATATATATATAGATTTTCCGAAATAGTAAATAACTTTTTTTTCTTTGAGGGAAATATTTAATATTTAAAAAATAATAAAGCCTTTATATACATATAGATATAAATATAGATATAGATATAAATATAAGTTCATATCAGACCAAATCAATTTATTCTATGAAAACAAAAGTTGAAAAATTGTCTGAATCTCCTCGTTTAGGATATCTCGTACTTTCAGCAATCATTCAGTTGAGCATATTTATTTTAGATAAGAAAATTCTGAAAAGTCATCATATAGCCATTTAATTATTTATTTATATGTTTCGTTCAATAGGAAAATCTTTTTTTTTTTTTGGTACAGACAATAGGGAAATCTTAATTGTACATAATATATTTTATATTTTAAATATACTCATGTGAGCGAAATTTAATATTTATAAGAAATATGATGATTTTAAATAATTTAATGATGCTTTATCAACACAATGAGAGGTTTTTTATTCAATTTATTTTATATGATGTTTAATTAGTCTTTAGTCTAATATTTATAAGAAATATGATGATTTTAAATAATTTAATGATGCTTTATCAACACAATGAGAGGTTTTAATTCAATTTATTTTATATGATGTTTAATTAGTCTTCAGATTGTGTTGTTTGTTTGTATATGATGCATGTTTTCAATGCGCTGATGTTTGTTAAATGCATTGTCGAACTTGTATGGCTTCTTTTTTACTCGGGAGGATAAAAGAGATCATGTAATTCTTTTGATCAATTTGTGTAATGAAAAATCGGGAGAATAAAAGAGATCATGTAATTCTTTTGATCAATTTGTGTAATGAAAAAATCAACCGATGTTGCAAAATGATTCATAAATTAGTGGCGCAATAATTTTGTGGGAAATCTATTACTATATAATATGGAGAAGAAAAATTATTTGAACAATTCGAAAATAATTATTTCGTTTTCCCGCTTCAATATAGTGTTTTCCCGCTTCTTCAATTCGTAAAATTTTTTTTTGAATTTTTTCAGCCCATGCAATTAGGTAACCAATCAAATCGAATCTTTTAGCATTCAATTTGGTAAGGTGTTCCGATTTTAGCATTCAAATCCTATTTCACTTCATTTTTTATGCCAATCAATCCGATTTTTTTGGTTGTTTCAAAATTTGTTTAGATTTATATTTTTATTTTATTAATCTATATATATATAATAAGAATTACCATTTTTAAAAAATGGCAGGTCAAACTCTGGTCAAACTTGGTCAGCATTTATTACATGCTATTAATAGCAACTTCTTTTTTTTTTTTAATGAAAAAACGAATGAGAGATAAATGTTGCCTTAAGAAGTGAAGAGGTTGTTAATTGTAGTTGCACAATTTTCACAAAATCAAAAAACCTTTTTGTAACATAAAATCATGTACCACTCATCTATTTTTTTTTGGATAAAAAGAAATTATGGTTGATTTAATAATAAAAATTTATTTTTTTTTTNTTATTTAATTATGAAACTTACAGTTATATTTAGACATAATTAAGTGTGATAATATTTTTTTAACTATTCTATCATCTATATATATATAATAAGAATAGCCATTTACTAAAAATAATAGCAAAAAAAATTTGGAGCACTAAATGCATACCTTATTTGGAAACTTTTAAAATATATGCATTAATTGCTTCTATATATACAATTTCAAATCAGACATGATCAAAAAGATTATTTCCTTTAAAATTTTATTCAATAATCTCATTGATATCCATTATAATAAACTACAAATTTAATTTTCGTGATTCATATTGATTATTTTATTGTCAAGGTAGACATGAAAATATATTTGAAATTATAAGCATATTATTTTTTTTCCACAAATACTTACTTTTCATCCTAAAATATTTATGAAAAATCGTAACATGCTAAGTATTTTTTTCATCTTTATTTCATGATTGAAATATATATACATATATAATTGAAATATATTAACTATTCTTTAAAATTTATTAACTATTCGTTATTTGTATATTATTATTATTTTTTCACTATGATTTATTTGTATATTATTATTAATCATGATTATTTTTTTGTCATATTTGTACATAATGTTTTATTTTAAATTTATTTAGATAACTTAAACTAATTACATTAATAAATAATATTAACGTATATTAAATATTTTCATTACATAAAATAAAAAGAAGACGAAGGCTGCATCTATAACTTTTATAAATGACATTATATTACAACAAGTTTTTTAATAAAATAATAATTGAGTAGTATAGAAGGAACAAGAATAAATAAAATTGTTGTTTTTCTTATATCAAAGAATAAATATATATACTAAAATAAAATTTATATTACTATACACATGTTAGGAGGATAATATATTAATTAATTTACGGGCTAGAGCTAACAGGCAATTTTAACGTCCCGACAAAAAAATGATGCTGATGAAAAGAGGTGGAAAATAGATTATCCAACTCTATTATTTTTTAGGGCTTAACGATCAAGCCCTATGAAAATGACTCATTTAATATCTCTGTCTCGTGCATCGCACGAGCTATTTAATGAACAAACAAAAATGACTCATTTAATATCTCTGTCCCGTGCATCGCACGGGCTTCGTACTAGTATATTTGAAAGAGAATCAATAAATGTTTATCATAACTTTTATTTTAAAAATAAATTTGAATAAGCATACCTTTTACTTTATATGAAATTCAAAATTACATATTTTAATATATTAATAAACGTTTATTATTTATTTTTTCCTTATGTGATATAATAGAATTTCGGTATTAAATTTGTAAATTCAAACATTTAAAGGAAAAGATTCCAAACAATTTTTTTGGGTAAATTTCATTTTATCTTGGTTTTCATTATCACATTTCTAACAAACTAATTAGTATTATATTTTTTTATCTACATTATCTAACCGATTTTGTATGATACAATTAATATAATATCTTAACAAATTAATCATTTGTCTAACCGGATTTATCTCTCTAACAAACTTGTCAATTTTTTTAAAATTAAAATGGTATGATTATTCTTATGGAGATACTTATCAATATATTAAATATTTAGAAACTTTTTTTAAAAAATGAGTTATCCCTCCTTTTACTTTATTTGAAATCCTGACTTATATTTTTAAATATATTATTATTTATTTTTGTACATGTAAATATTTATTATTTATTATCTAAGTGATAAATATTATTGATTTATCTCTTTAATAAATATTTATTATTTATTTTTTTCCTTACGTGATATAATGTAAATTTGGTTACTAGATTTTTAAATTCAAACATTTAGGAAAAAACCACGAACAAATTTTTTGGTTACATTTCATTTTATTTTAACTTTCATATAATCACAATCCTAACAAACTAATTAGTATAATTTTTTTTACCCATTTTTATATAATCGGATTTCTTAAAATATAATTAATATAACATTTTAACTATTTAATCATTTGTATAACTTGATTTAACTCATTATCAAACTTGCCAAATTTTTTTTGAAATTAAAAAAAATTTGGAAGATTTTTATTTGTAAAATAATAAAAAATAGCTTTACTTTAAAGTCTGGATTATTTCCATTATTTTTTGTACGTTAACAATCATATATTTTGGATTATTGATTTAAAAAAACAAATCAAAACCGTAAGGTTTAATAATATTTCTTAAATAAAAAATATTGTATAAAGAAAAGTATTTAATATTATATATTTTTCATTGATTGTATTTATTTTATTTTCATAATAGACGAGATGTGAAAAATATAAATAATTATATTTAAAATAAAGTTTAAAAAATGTTTAAAATATGAACTCTTCCGTGCATCGCACGGGATATACACTAGTCTTAATTGAAGATTAAGATTTCTCTGATACGGAGATACCACAATTATGTCAAATCTATACTAATATTAACGGGGTACTATTTACCAAATTAAGTAGCCAAAAAAGTCAACAGCATTTATTGCATTACTATTTCCGTATTATAATATATAAAAGAATATTCTATTTACTACATTTACTATCCAGAAAAGTCAACTGCATTAAATGTCATTACTATTTTGGTATTATAATATTTTATTTATTTAATTTTTTATTTATTTGTTTTATTTTAAAAAGGTAAGTATAATAAAAAGATTTTAATAATAAAAAAAATCAAATACCAAATAAAAATGTACACTTTGACTTATTTGATTATATTTGGTATTGATTATACCAAATATATTCCTATTTAGTATATACATTAAATACTTGCTAAAATATTTATTTGTTTTATTTGTCAAAGTTAAGTATAGATTTGTTTATATTATCAAATCATAAAAAAATATTAAATCCATATTGTAAAAAAAAAATTTCATATAATTTTATAACAATTATACTACACTATTTAACAATATTCCTTTTTTATTATATAATAAAATAATAATAAATATTATATGGTGAACAACAATAAGTAAAACTGTTACTTTCTCTTATATCAAGGGATAAATCTATATGCTAAAATTAAATTTTTATTAGTATAAATGTTTCAGTGATATAATACATTAATTATTTTACAAGCTAGCCCTAACATGCTCATATTTAATGTTTTAAAAGATGTAGAAAAAAAACTTATAATACCTCTATTGTTTTTTAGACTTAAACGTTGATTAAAAAAGGTAAAAATTCCTAATTTTTTAGACTTAAACGTTGATTAACACCATAGATTGAGAGTTTATATTTAGTAAAGTTGCTAATTGTAATAAAAAAAATTAATTTTTGCTATATTTTAGAATATCTTTAAATTCATTATGAAAAAAAAAGAAAAAAAACTACAATGAAAAAAGCAAGTCAGCTATATATCGATTTGTTGTACTCCTCAAATCACATTCACAATTTGACTACAAGGAAAGGAAACTCATTCATTAAAATATTATTTTGTCAGTAGTCTTAATGTACAAGAGACTTTAAGATTCCACTTGAATATTATAAAACTTTTATTGAACATTGTACAATTTCTTGCGTATTATAAACTTTTATTGAATATTGCATCTTATAATATAATATTCTCCAAATAAATATATCTCGTGCTTCGCACGTACCATATATATCCCGTACATTTTTCTTTATTCATATATATAATTATAAGTCTGGATAAATAGCCTTAAAATTGTGCACCCCGTGCATCGCACGGGCTCTGTACTAGTATGAACTAAAGTTAAATAAAATAATACTTACCTTAAAGATTTGCATCATTTGAATGGTAACTGCCGTCATATTTGACCAGAATCTATATCTATATATATATAAAGAGGAGCAACAAATCATTAAATTTTATTTCCATGCATTAAATTTTATTCTCCCTCCAAAATTTTCAGCATTCAATTTCATTTTTAAGTTACAAAATAACTTGCTTGAATGCCATAAATTATGAGCATAAACCAATCACGGGAGTTACAAAACTGTACTCAAATTTTAAATCACACCCACTCATGAAAATAGTCGGGGGTATTAGCATAAAGAAAATGGTTGTAACGGATCTTCCATAGCAATTACTTGATCAAAATCAATTTTGAGAATTATTTTCTTAATTCATATTTTCTTTTTTCATAAATTAAGTTATGACTTTTTTTTTTATATTGTTGTATTTTTTATATTTTTATCTTTTTAAAGTATTCTTCTCGGTGCAAATTCACATGTTGATTACTAGTGATTTTATACATTAATTACATTGATTTTTTCAATTTGAATTTCAAATTATTAGCCGCCATTTTTCAATTTTTTTTTAAAAAGTTACTAATAAAAGCAAAAACGAAATTTTTAAGCGGGAATTTAGTTAATATTTCAGGTAAATATCAAACCTTTTTATATTTACTAGTACAAATCTCGTGCGATGCACGGGGTGGATAATGTAAGGTCATTTACCCAACTTTATTACTATATTCGTGAATAAAAAAAATAAAATAAATAATACTAAAATAACTATTACATATTATTAAAAACGTCCTTATAGACAACATTTTTTGCCTTGTAGGCACACCATTATACTTAATTAAAATCGCCATCACATACCTCGAGTCTAGTAAAATCACCATCAAAATAACTATTTATAACAACACATTATACCGAGCACAATTCAAATTATATCTAATAAATAGGATTAATTAAATTCGACTACACTTATACCATAAAATCACCCACTTTATACCAAAATTAAATTTATTAATAACAATAAAATCGCCCACTTTTTACCATAAAATCACCAACTTTATTACTAAAATCAAATTTATTAATTTTACAAATTTATACAACAAAATTTAAATATAATAAATAATTTATTTTAGGAAAACTATTACTATTTTAAAAATAATCAAAACTTTTTATATTAGAAACATGATGGCCGACACTCCTTATTTTTTGTCCATCTTTATTTGTTAAATTAATCCATTTTAATTGAAGTACGCAATTTAAATTCACTTCCTACATAGAAATAATATTCAACGCATAATATTTTGAATTTTTACTAATAGTATTATAAGTTAAAGATTGCATCAAAATCTTGATAAGTAAACCAACTAAATACTTGATGTTAAACTATAAAATTAATGAATCCGCAATAAACTATTTTCTATGCCATAATTAATGCAAGATACACCCATTTATAGATATATTTTATTCCTCCTTAGAATGATTTAGTTATATTTACTTATAATTAGTATTTAGTTTCTGTATCAAATACATTATACATTGCTTATATTATATACTAAATTTAAACCATGCAATTAATTAATATAGGTAATAGTCGCAATATTTGACTAAAATAATTTTGTACATTAATTAGATTGATTTATTTAATTTGAATTTCAAATAATTTCCTCCACTTTTCAAAAAGATTTAAAAAAGTTACTAATAAAGGTAAATATGATTTTTTTTGCGGGATTTTAGCTGTCATTTCAAATAAATACAAATATTTTTATATAGATATAGATATACAAATGTGAATATCAAATAAATCATACATATCCTTTCTTTAATTGAATTATTTTGTACCAACAATATTTAATTAAAATATTTTGTATTAACTTTTGTAGGATATAATTGTGATTAAATATTACAGATTTGGTTGCTCTACAGTTTTGTAGAGAATTTCAAGGATCATGACCAAAATCTCGACAGAAGATGATTTATCAAAATAAATTAGTTCAAATTTGGGTCACATATCTGATCAAATTATATAATGTTATTATGTACATTGGTTAAATATATTTATTTTCTTTCCTGTGCTATATAGGAGCAATCAAAGTTATATTATTATGTACATTGGTTAAATATATTTATTTTCTTTCCTTTGTTATATAGGAGCAATAGTGGAACAAAAATCTCGGACAAAATTCTATGAAATACGCCGCCCCGCAATTGATGACCATTCAATTCAAACATTGATTTTTCTTTAATTTAAATTTAAAAAAAAAAACGCCATTTTCTTTTTTCTTTTTAAAAATAAATTACTAATAAAAATAAAAGTGAAATTTTTTTGCGGGATTTCAGTTGCTTTTTTCGGTAAATGGCAAACCTTTTTATATAGATAAAGGTAGATCTAGTTAAATCATAAATTCTTAAAACAGATTAAAAATTAGGCGGGTGGAGTCGTCCTACATTTTTAACAAAATTACATACTTCTGAAAAAAAAATTGTATCCCTACAAATAAATATCTCAACATTTAAAAGTATTTGTTCCAATAAATTAGTTAAAGCAAGCTAGACTTATATTCATGATCAGGCTTGTGATTCGATAAGCACAACAATTAACTTATTTGTCCCAATATCAATTCTTCCAAAAACAATTGATTTTAACAAAACAAAATATAGACACATGAACATTGTTTCTTGAACACCCTTGTCAAGACATAATGTATTTAATATAAGTGAGACATAAATAAAACTACACAACAACTTTTAAGTGGCGAAATATTTTCACCATAGTATCACAGTGCAAAATACCTCTCACTGGAATAATAATAATAAGAAGAAAAAAATCCACTAAAAATCTTCAGTATCCAGCTGAAAAAATTAAAGAAAAAAGAGAAAGAAAAAGAGAGAGAGAGGAAGAGAGGGAGCTGCAATTTTTTTGAGACATAACTCACTCTGGGAGTTTCAGACGATGGAAAAGCACGAGAAAAGCATGCTCTGGGACAACATAAAGAAAACCCAAATTCACGCCATTGATATATGGGGCTCCCAAACTCTGCAATTAACCGTCGACAACTGTTAACGAACGATTACATAGTAAAACAAAAAAAATCATTGATATATGGGACTCCCAAACTTTGCACATCAAAACAAAAAAAATTATTAAAAATAAACAATAAATTTATCCTGACGAACTCGTAACATTTCATCATCGCCCGAAAATCCCGACCTCAGCTCATCCGTCGTGATGAATATCATCATCACGTATGCGGTGATGGCAGACGGCGGGGTAACACTACCTCATTATAACTTTTCGGCTTTAGTTAAGGTTGATCATTATACCTGCTTAGCAGCTTCTGCAAGCAGATCATCAAGCTGAGGAGTTGCAGAGGGGGGAAGTATTTGAGGTCCAGCAACTGCAACATCAAGATTCAAGTAAGTCACTGCCCTCGATGCCAACATTTGTCTGTTCTCTTCAACCCATTCTGTTGAACCTATCTGAAAAAAAAAAATTATACATAGAAATTAAATTAACACATCATTCTACTTATTCGCACTGTGAGCAAAGTCTTAATTTCTCTTATTTATTTTTTCAATTTCCATAAAAGAGATTGAAAGAGAGACCAGGCCGAATTCCTCTCCATCCCAACTGCAGAAAATGATAGTTCTTNACACCCCAGGAAGGTGGGGGGTTAAGGCCGAACCCCTAACCTGTATATAAAAATGTCCTAAATAGGCTGAAAAGTCAAAAAGCTACAAATTCAATGTTTGATATACATCAAGTCAAACGAAACCAAACAAAAAAATAAAATCAAGAAAAAAATACAAGGAACAGCTGACAACTGCAGCGAGAAATACAAAAATAACAGATCCTGGTCCGGGGAGAGTCCCGGTGAAAAAGTCTGCATCACAGTGTGGCAGATGCGCCAAAAAATAGGACCGGCTATACAAATCTGAATGAAGGGTATCCCATCTGGTCCATCCGTATGAGGGTGCGGAGGCGGAGGGGAATATCGTCAGGGTAAAGAATGCGTCTCAGGGGGGAGGAGGCTCCGATGCCAGCGAGGAAGTCAGCTGGTCGGTTCCCTTCGCGGAAGATGTACGAGATCCGAAAACGAATCGACTGTAGAGTGGCTCTGATACGCATGAGAGGGTGCTGGATCTGCCACGTGCCCTGATGGCCAGATGACAAGAGAGTGATGACAGCGGCGACGTCCAACTCTATCCAAATGTGAGAGGAGATCGAAGCCCATGCGTCTCAATGGTTACCCAGAATAACATACCTGACATTTTTGCAGCAATCTACATTAAGGTATAATACAAACGAATCAATTCTCACATGCTGGTAACATCATCATCGTCCATCTTCTGTCGATATAGCGAGATTCTCTACCGATTCCCGATCATCACCCGTAGCTTCTTCTCCGATACGCACATCCCGAGATTCTCTAGCGAATCGCTGAGCTCCTCTCGGCCATCGCCGTTCATCGAGCTCAGACGTGCCCATCTCCTCTTGTGAAACCTAATTGCAAAATTGGTTTGGATTTAATTTTGATCCGTCCATATAAGTTTTCAGCCAATCTTGTCCACACCCAAGAAAGAAAAGAGAAGATCGACAACGTCACCAGTAGATAATTAGACCGCTTAGAGAGGGTGAGATTTAAGTTTCCACTTATATCGTTCCATTTTAATTTTGATTTGATATACCAAAAAATTCGATCAGTCCATTTAAGATTTGATTTGATATACCAAAATAAATCTGCTTTCTTTAATTATTAGAATTTAAATTATTAACTGAAAATTTTCAAAATATGTTTGAGCGGGATTTTCGAATTTTTTTCAAAAAAAGTTACTAATGTTAATAAGTTTTAAAATTTTTTTGCGGGATTTCAGCTGCTTTTTCAGGTAAATGCCAAGCCTTTTTATATTTATATAGATATAGATATATATATATATATATATAAATTACTAAAGAGAAAGAAGTCTATAAATATACATATTAAAATTTCCCCCCAAATATTATTACTTTACTAGAAGATATGTGTTTTCTATTAAAAAAAAATCCAAAACTTTTGGAAAAGAATCAAACACTATATATTTTTTATTGATACCTTAATAAAAAAATATACATAAAATTATGTCCAAATTACCATACATCATTTATAAATTAAATTACAAAGTTTATGATGTTTAATGGAAAGACACAGTTTAAAAATAGCGTAAATGCTACTGAGTTCATACTGATTTGATATAGATCGAAATATTTATGAATATTATTTAAAAAAAATATATATAATAACTATTTAGCTATTTATCATTTTTCTCATAAAAATTATAAATTGTCTATGAGAAGATACTCCAAAAAACTATATCGATATCCATTATTAAATAAAAAATTCTATAAATACACTATAATTTTTTTTATCTTTTGTAAAAATTCAATAGTTATTGGTTATTTTATCAACATTTTACAAATAAAATAGTAAATTAATCATCAGTTTATACTTTTTTAAATCTCATAGTGGGCATGTAAACTAAAAACATATATTTTTATATTTATAGAAAATATTTTTTCGTAACTTATATATATTTTATATTTTTTAGCAGTACAAGCTTTACATGGTTTGAAATTACAATATCAACATTATTATTGAATGACAACTCATGTTATTGTTCTTCACTAAATGCTTTAAAAAATTAAAACAAAAAATATATCACGTATGAATCAATTTTTGAATATTTTTTTAAAATAAAAAAATTGAAAATATTAACTAAAATATGAGATAAAAATGTTGCATATAATATAGTGATATGTGTAAAACTTATTTTTTTAATGTAAAAATTTATAATTATTGTTGATTCATTTTTATGTGTCGCTATAATGTATTAATTTCATGTTTAGTGTATTATTGATTGAAAGTTTCAAACATAACCAGTTATATTGATAATCTTAAAAATGTAAATAAAAAAAGATAAAATATTATTATAAAAGGAGAAATAGTCACCAATGTCGTGTACAACAAAACTTTTCATACTCAATAATAAGTTCTCACTACAAAAAAATTGTTATATTTCAACGGAAAATCCTACGATAATATATTCCAATGGAAATTTCAACGGATATTCCAATGGTATAGCTTCCGTTGGGATCATTCCAATGGAAATTCCAATGAAAATATTCCATTGGAATGTGTTTTCCATTGAAATTTTAGATGGAATTTGATGATTCCAACGGCTTTTTACCGTAGGAATTTCCGTTAGAATTTTTATTTCCACCCCCGTTGGAAAATCTACCGTTGGAATCGTCAAAATCCAACGGAAATTCCAATGGAAAACTCATTCCAACGGAATATTTTTGTTGGAATTTCCGTTGAAATAATTCCAACGGAAATAATAGCATTAAAATATCCGTTGGAATTTTATTGAAATATATTTCCGTTGGAATTTCACCATTTTCTTGTAGTGCCTTTGAAAATTTTGTATTATTGAATCTAAAGTTATATAGTCCTTATTATAATCAAATTGACCCTGCCTATATATGCATGAGGACGGTAAAGGGGTATTAGTATTCAATTATTCATAACTAGCAATCATCATTTTACAATATTAATCACATCATAATTAAATATAATTTTTATATCAGATTACTATGTACTATTAAAATCCTAAGTTAATTCAAACTCATATATATAAGAAGTCAGATAGATTAATTTATTAAATTGATAAATAATTTTTATTATTTTTTGATTAGGATAGATAGATCATTTAATCTTAAATAAATTTTGCTATAACTATTTTTTTGTTTTTAAATATTGAACATAGATGTCAAATTGAAATTGAAATGATGACTAATTTGTTATGTTGTACATGAATGTTGGTGACATACAAAAGTTATTAAATTTTAAAAAATATATATTTTTAAACTGACCAAAAGTTTTATAATTTTAAAAATTTTAAAAAGCAAGAATAAATAATTATGTCTACATGGACAATTCTAAACTAATAAAATTTGACAATTAAAATTATGAAATACTAAAAGTTGATATGTAAAATTATGAAACATCAGAAAATGGTACTTAAACTCTGTAAAGTCTAGATTTATCAACTTCTACTTCAAACCTTTTAAATATATATGGAGATATCACGGGATTATATCGGCAATATTTGGCTATTAGCTGATAGCTAAATATAAATATATATATATATATATATATATATATATATATATGGAGATATTACGGGGTTATATAGATCATATTTAGCTATTAATTAGCTGATAATTAAATGTATTAGCAGATAGCTGATAACAAATTATAATAGATAATTTGACTATTACATCGCATTAACTGTTTGTAAATAACACTTTGGTAAAGAGCGCATTGAAACTAATTTAAAACTTTTCTGCTCATATAATATTCTACAAAACTTTTCTTTTCAAAATGTTTTTATATTGTATATTAGTGTTTAAAGCTAAAAAATAATTAAATAAATTATATAATCAACAAACTAAATAGCGAATTTGAGTCAAACATCTAAACACGGGATCTTATGCAAAAAGGCTAGAATCAGGTGTTTGAAGCAACCTAATATAGTATTTGCTATAAAACCAAGGGATGATGTCTGCATGCCCCATGCTCCTTGATTGGGTGCTAAATTATTTTCTTGAGGGGCCAAAGTATATACACGTGGTAGGCTCGTGATGAAAGTTTCTCATTCAATTATTAAGTATCTATAAAATAATATATCTTTTAGTGTGGCCGATTAATTTTACCACTACAGCATTACTAGGTACGTAACATATACTTGTTATAATATTACCTCAAGTACTTAATTATATTATGTTGTACATATTTTGGAACACCTTGTAAACTAATATTGATACTCGCATGTAGTTACATATTTGGAACATCTTATAAACTAATATTGATACTCATGTGATGTATGACATAGTACAAATACTATTTTTAAGGTAATTCATCATCTAATATTATAATTTTTTGTTAGCTTGTAATTTCATGAATGCCATCGATTTTAGATATGCTATTTGTACATAANAACACACACCTAAATATAGAATACACACTACAACATAAATGACTTTAAGTAGCGCCATTTATGATAATACTTTACAAATTATTGATTTATGTATCATATTATTGTAATTTGTAACACTTTTAAAATAAGTTTTAGCAAAAACTAGCAAAATTATCATATAAGTGTAACCAAAAACTATCAAAAGTATTACCTTTGACTTTAGGTAGCACAAATAACTGCAGCGCCAATATTGTGTTACCTATTGTCTATAGGTAACATTTTATAGCTTTTACGTAACATTTCATAGCTTTTACGTATCATTTATTTAGTGCTACCTAAAGTCATTTATGTTGTAGTGACAATCTCCCTACTCTCGCGAGCCTACCGCTACTACCACACGCCCCAACGCACGGGGCGATCATAAAACTTAAAAATATAAGAGAATCGCAGATCAAAAACCCTCAAATTTGAGAACTCCGTCACGACTCGAACGCCTAATGAGATCTGGCGAGGAGAGAAGACACTAGAGCCTAGATCTGAGTCCCCAAAAGCTTCTAATCGAGAGAGAGTGTTGGAATATCAATTGTGAGTTGTCCCACATTGATTTGATAGAGTAAATGAGCCTAGTTTATAAGCCTAGTGGGCTACTCCTCCCATCACCAATTGGTTTTGAGATAGAATCACTTGAGCTTCATTTGGGCTAACCCTGCTTTGGTGCGCTTCACGTCCGTGGAACCGCACCCGCCAACCCCCGTTTCTTTATGCTATTTGGGCTAACCTTCTTATGGTGCGTTTCACCTGTGTGGGACCGCACTCGTTTTGCCCCCGTTTGACATGGTATCAGAGCGGGCCTAATTTGGGACCTACGAAAAAAAAAGTACTCGGCCAGGTTGTAGGCGTGGACTGAAAAAATGTATCCGGCTTGGTTGGAGGCATGGGCTGATGAAGGACTCACAAATGAGGGGCGTGTTGGAATATCACTTGTGAGTTATTCCCACATTGATTTGATAGGCTAAATGAGTCTAGTTTATAAGTCTAGTGGGCTACTCCTTCCATCACTAATTGGTTTTGGGATGAAACCTCACTTGGGCTTCATTTGAGCTAACTTTCTTATGGTGCGCTTCATCGGTGTGGGACCGCACTCGTTTTGCCCCCATTTAACAGAGAGACTGGAGATCTCGCCGGAGGATCCGCCCTTCTTCGGCCTTAAAGGGTTACACATACCGGAAGATGCTTCGACTTTTTTCCTTTCTGCCGAGGAAGTTTTTCAGAGAGAGAAAAACTTGTTGATATATCTGTATATAACCAGGTATTTATAAATCTGTTTTCATAATCTTACTAATTTCTCTACCATTCAAAAATTGATGCATGCTTCAACATTTGACAGGAATTTATCCTGTTAGATTTGTCTTATACTATAGTTTTGAAAGCATAAAACCTCATCTATTTTATGAGAAATTTTAATTTCTGGTAACTATATCTAGATAACGTGATATAATTTTGTAAGGTCAAATAGTTTTATTGTTTAAGACATTTATATATGTTTTTAAGTTTATATTATTCAATTAGTATACAATTCATGCATTTAAATATATTATATTAATAATGAAAAAAGTTTTAAATGTAAGTTATGGTACCTGAGTATGAATCATTTAATTTAGTTATTTTAATCAAAAAATTTATAATCGAGATATTTTCTTCACAAATTGAATATATATATATAGTTAGAGATAAACTTTTTAATGCAATTCCAATATTTTTCTTCCATTTTCAATTACAAATCCACACTTAATATCATTTTTTTTTTTTACATATTAATTGCTATTGCTTTATCTAGGGATATCGAAATGTCGGTTTTGTTATGAATCCAATAGTTGCTCCATAGTGGAGTCAACCTTCTATATACAACAAGTAAACCTACCATATTAGAAGGTTGGCTCCATAACTATTGGCTTCATAGCAAAACCGAATCAAATGTATATATATATATAATTGGTGACAATGTAATAAAGTTTATTCCAACAAGCATTTAATAAAATCTAGTGCATAGCCCGTGCACGGTACACATATATTAAATTAGGGGTGACATTTTTTATCGAAAAATCGAATCTAACTGAACCGAACCGACGGAGAGAAGAACTGAACATAACCGAATCGAATTTTTCGGTAACCGAATCTATTTCGATTCGGTTATGGTATTTCTTTATTTTTACAATATTTGATAATACCAAACCGAATTGATACTTTATTGAAATTAAGATTTTATGTAAACTTTTTAGATCCAGCCCAATACTTCATTGAGCCCATTACCCCATTAGCCCACAAAGGATAAATGAGTCCATTCCTCATTAGCCCACAAAAGATAAATGAGTTACATACCTGATAGTCCAAATTACACTGTACACTGTACACACATATATCTGTTATCATTACTGACTAAATATTGCCATTAGTTGTTATTAGTTAAATAATAATCTTATTTGATGTGGTAGTTTTTGACGAAAATTGGATTTGTAATGATGGTGCTAATCTGGAATAATTGAAGGCTACGACTACGCATGAATGAGGTGTGTGCACTGTGCAGGCACGAACGTACAGAACAAGTTGTCTAATAAGTAATAAAGTACAGTGAAAAACGAGGAATCCAGCGCATGCTGATGTTGCTAATCTGACGATGTCACAATTCACCAGCCACAAATACAGTATTTGAAACTATTAAGAGGGTGATTGTTTATGGATTCAACTAATTTTTATTTGATTTGTTTTTAACTATAATTAATTTTAAAAAAAGAGATATAGTTAGTTGTTAGTGAATATATTAAAATAATAATTAAATAAAATAATTAAAATTGATTTGATGTAAAGTATGAGAAAAATGATTGGAAGTAATGGTTAGTTAAAATTATGTGAGTGGATGAATAGTGAATTAAAGTTGATTTGATGTGTAAGAATGATTGGTTGATATTATTTAATTATATTGGTAATATTGAAGATAGTGGGGTTGTGTTAAAGTTGAGTTAAATTTGAGTTTTGATTGAGTTTTTTACTATTCAATTTATATCCAATCGCCCCTTAATACACTTGTGGTGTTCCTCTAATTCTTCCGGGTGGAAGCGCTGTATATATTTGTCGAACATTGTAGATTTGATCTGAGTTATAATATTT